CGTAAGCAAGTACATTGAATTGATTAGCCCGCAGAAACTTTATTTTCACTGTGATTGGACCAAAACTGGGCAAACCCTCAAGTGAAATAAACGACGGATGAAGTCTACAACAGGCTGGTGAGCTTTTGTCGACTAAAAAAAATTTAACTTAAATATGTTCAATTATTCAACTCCATGAGGGGACGCAAATCGTCTGTACTGTAAGTATCCCGGAGAGTCCCCTACATTTTCTTAGACTTTTAGTCTAAGAAAATGTATGGGGACTGTAAGGTGTCATAATCCTGTTGCTGCTGACATCGATGTGACAGATAATTGCTTTTGCACTGTTTCCTTTGCCGGCTTATACTTGTCATCAAGTTTCAATAAGACGGCTATCATTTTTCACAAGAATAATGAAGTTTTCGTAAATTGTGAGATCGGATGGGATTAAAATGGGATTAAATCACCTACAGAGCTTGATATGTACTTACAGTGCAGACAATTTGCGTCCCCTCATGAGTTTTGCTTTTCCAAAATTACATACGTTTTCTAAAAAGGTTGTATTGTCTTCTTTAATGGAAGAGTAAGCTATTGAAGCCTCCTGAATTGTGGGAAACAAGCATCTTGCTACCCTCATTTTATCGATTTGACGTACAATGTTCTTAAAGAATGACAGCGAAAACCTATGATGTCCTATACTGCAAATTAGAAGTCACCATAGGAGAGAAAGTCTTCAAATTTTTAGACTGTAATCCAAGCAGCATATTGGTTACTTCATCAATTTCAAGCTCGCTAGTTCACGCCCAGGACGAAAACTTGAAGTAAAAGAAAGGCATAGTAAAGAAAGGCTATTGCTTTCAGACATAAAATGATTCATGACGACATACTAGCTTTTTTGAGCTTTTCTCTTTTTTAAACTATTTTCTGCCAGTACCTCACTCAGATCTTTTAACATCTTAATAATATTTCAATTTCAAACTGCCATGAGCTAGATAAATTACAAAGTAAATTTCCGTTCATATGTGTTGCCATGTGTAATGAAGGCCAACGGTAATATCGCTATAGACACAAAAAGTAAGCCTGCAGATGGAATAGATTTGAATCACCTCTTAAACAAAGGTTTTCTTTATCACTACAACTCCAATACTTGTCACTTTTATCCATTATCGCTCCTTTTGATAATAAAATATTTATCTCCACAAAAACTGCTGAAATGCCAAAATATATTCAGTTTTCTCTCAAGTCCTCATTAACTTTGCAACAGAGAAAGAGTGAGTACAAAATATTAAGACTTATGGATATAATTTCTGGTACATTTTCAATATCTTAGACATAAATTTTTGTTATCCCGCTTCCAAATCAACTACTGGAAAAAAAAACTTTCAAGAAAATGGAATCGAGACGAGATTAGAAAATCAATATTTTCATTATCAAGTTTAGAAACCGAGCAAGACAAGAGAAACACCTGCGTTATTGGAATCAAACTGTAAATCAGACAACTGTAAAGAGGAAAAAGAAATTTCAATTTGCGTTAAAATCGATTGGCGTTCCAAGAAGGGAAAGCGAGTAATAAATGGATTTAATGTTTCATTCAAAGAAAAGGTTACAGCTTCACGGATGAATGAAGAATAGCAGACAAGGATTAACGTAAGTTATGGAAAACACTATATCGAAAACATGACGTAACCGTGTGTTTCGTAACCTATATACGTCCTTCTTCTTTTTTTTTTTATTATTTTTTTTTTTTTAACATTTTTTTTTATTTTCACTTAAAGCACAAATACTAGAGTAATACAAACAAATACAAAGTTAATTACACTAACGCTTACGCTACTCACTAACACTACTTACGAAATACTACATTACATTACATTCACAGTCGGCTAGATTTACTTTATGTTGTGGTTATATAATAATATAAGCCTAATTTGTACAAATACTTCTACATCAAATTCCTTTTTTGGTAGAACGACTGTATATACAACTGCGTCTATAACTGTTAATACCCGATACTCATCTATTGAGTTACAATAACATGTTTTCCCATTTTTTATAATGAATAGATTCTTTTTTATTCTTTTTTTGCAATCAAAAATTCAAATTTCCGAGTTTCAGATGTTTTAGCCTTCAGTAAGGATACAGACGGCTTGATATTTTTACAACGACATGAATAAATGGTATATTTTCCAAGAATGATTATGTGATTTAACAAACAATTCCCAGGGTTATTATCGGAAATACCAAAAAGGATTGTTACCTCATCAAGCTTATCAATTTTCATATTGTAAGCATTTAACCAAGAAATAACCGAAAGCCAAAAGTTTTAGTGTAGGTACAGCTGATTAGAAGATGCTCAAGAGTTTCTTCGTGATCTCCGATTTGCGTTTGTTGAGATCAAGAATTCCTCTAACATTCAAGGATAGAACATTAAAGCAAACGTTATTCATAAGAGTAAGTTGATAGATATTACATTCTTAAAATATGAAAATGAGCCGGGTATAAAAATCGAGTGCGGTTTGAATGAAATAAATTGGTATCTAACAGACTGCGATAAAACTACATGAACATAAAACGAAAACGAGAACGAAAACGAAGACTGAGGGCGAAAATAAGTTAACCAATCCCACATACCTCTTGCTCCAGAAGAACTGTTTACGAGTACGAACAAACGCCTAGTACATCAATCCACCCGAAACCCTTTCACCGGAATGTGAAAAAAAAATCAAACTGGTAGTGCCCATGAGGTGTGAGAAAGAATATGCATAACGGATAAAGTAGAAAGTGACAAAAATGGCACTATATATACGTCCTTCTTGGAAGAAGCGTAAAATGTGGTAATGATAGATACAAATTTATAAAAACTTCATGGAGAGATGAGTAAAACCAAATTTAAACAGACGATTTTAGATCCCTCTTCCACCATACACAGAGGAGAGACATTAAATGTCATGGACACAATCTGGGTTTGAATGCAACAAGACAAAAAAGAAGAGGTAAAATAAGTATTTAAATTACCTGTTTTCTCGGATATATTTCAAATAAGGTCCAATTCCTCAAATATTAAATCAAAAATTTCCGCAGAAAGAAATACAGCTATAAGAAAGGCGTCATGGCAAGATTTTGTCTCAGCTTGAAAAAAAAAATAAAATGAAACATATGTCCGTCTTTTGCAGTGCAATAAAGATATATTGCAGTCCGTAAAGATGGACCTGACTTTTGTGAACAACCTTAGTGTCTTCCACACACATATGACGCTTAACGGCAGCAGTGGGATGCAGTTGAAAGGTAAATTTTCAATGATAACATAGCTTTGGCTGTGGCACTTAAAACATACAGTAAACAAGCTTTTGCTTCTCAAATCATAATTAGTTGTCCTAATAAAATGAAGATCATGTACTTCTGCTTTTTCCCCTTATGGTTATGTGGTTAGCTAGGCTTGCAGCGTAGTCAAATCTGTTTAGTAATAAAGTTTAACGGGATATAAAACTACCGTGTCGTTGTATACTATATATGTTCTAAACATGTGCTATGTTGTGTCAAACATGAAGTTATTAGAGACTGCCAAATAACCCACTCCAAGGACCCACACTCATTACAAATTTTATATTAATTTCTTTACTCGACAATCGAGTTTAAAGATTACCATATTTTTAACACCGTATCCCCGAACGGTAAGTTACTGGATTTTACTGATCCTCGCAGTTTGTAGGACGCTCCGAAGAAGATAACTTTATCGACCAAACGATTTTTGCGAGTCTCAGTTCACCGATTAGAAACCGATTAGAGCAAAGGACCATCAAACCGGGACTCTCTGTGATTAGAGTTCCTAAGGGGAACTCAAATTTCGTTAAAAATAAACAACACCTCCGCAGCAATCCCACTAGTTAAGGGTCCTTGGGACCCCTAGTTCCAAAAAGTTGAGGGTCCCTATAGCTTTTTAGAGGTCCCCTGCCTACTACTTAAATTTGATTCTGTAGTTTTTAACAGAGACAAAAACCATGACCGGGTGGTAGCACAGCTAATAAAGCTTTAATTTTGGAATAAAGTGTGCTCGTGTTTCTTAATACCGACAGTTCCTGCATTACTAGTAAGAGTCTCACCTTGTCATAGTTAATAATATATGTAGTAATATTAAACCAAAAATTATGTGACATACAATTATCAAGTCATATTCAAGTGTAATTCTACAGTTTTACTTTCTTCTGTTCTTCATTTTGTTGAATTTCTTTACTGCTCTATCACTAAAACTTTCCTCATCTATATGTCTTTTGTATGCATAAGAAATATGCATCTTACATTCAACTGCACTTGGGGACATTTTATTTCTCAAAGCCCCATGAATTCGATTTTGTGCAGAAAAATATCTTTCGCAAGGTACAGAAGTGAGAGGAATTGTTTGGAAAACTTATGTTAGAGTTACAAATGAAGGGAATATGTCTTCGTAAACACCTGGCTTTGCAAGAATTTCACGCAGTTCTTTAAGAGGGTTGTCCTCATTACTTTTGAGAAATTGCTTAAACTGGATAAATGAATTTCTTACTTCATCAGCATCAATTAGACTTTCTTCTTCAGATGCATCAGCGTATCTCTCAATTAATCTTTCTAGATTCTCGGTACCATGGTTTCGAATTCCAACTGCTGTGCCAGTAATTTGGCAGGGTTTAGATTGGAAATCTGGTAAACCAGGTCAGGGACAGCCTTGGAAGCCCAACGTGCAACTAGGGTTATTTTGGGAGCAACACATCAAACAGAAAAAGTTTTGGCATTTACTCTTTGCAGTCACACAGCAAAACCATTATGACAACCTGCCACTACTAAAGCGCCATCTGTTCCCAACCTAGAAAGCTTTTTCATTGGAATGTTTTTTGAATTACGATAACTTGGAACTGCAGAATAGATGGTCTCTGCTTTACAATCCTTAACCTCAACATTAGCAGCAAATTCAATCTTGGACTTCCCAGAACAAGTATCTTGAAAAATGGAAATTTTATGTACAGCTATGTCAATACTTTCATCCAACATCAGGCAGACAAAGGACTGTCTTTAATTCTCTTTAGAGTATCCTCCTCACACGCTTCAGAAATACAGTTTTGTAACTCAGTGGCAGTGGATTCATGTCTATAAATCCCATCTCTTTTCTTCAGATCTGAGCAACCATTGGAAATCTGTGAATTAAGAATCAACGCCACACATAAATAATAAATAACCAACAAGAAAACAATTACGAGAAGAGACGACCTGTCTCTTAAAGGAAATCAATAAACTTAAAACTAACCTTCAAATCAATCACTGAATCTGATTTCCTGTCAGGAATTTCCTCTTTTATCATGACAAAAACTGCCTTCAATGCCGTACTTACCTTCTCTTGAACATGACGCACAACAGTCTCATGAGATCTTCTTTGTTTGATGATATTCATGGCCACGACGTGGTCATCGCCAGACTAATGTCGTGTCAGACTTGAACGCTGGAAATTATTTGCTCCATGCAAAAAAACTTTGCGATGGTTAAGGTTTACAGCCATACGTATCAAGACAAACTTTTCCCTTTATTTGTTTTTCGGTCGAATCATATTTCAAACATTTAAACTCCCCCAGCCATTTAGGAAAAAATTTGGTTTCTTCACTAGGGTATCATCCCACAGACCTGCTTCACTTTCAGGTTTCCTCTTTCGAATATCGAAGATATCGAATAAACTCTTTTGAGTAGACATACCTTTAACCGTGACAAAATGGCGTGTCCAGGGACATGCCATGATGATCGCAGTGATATTTGGGTAAGGTCCGCCAGACCCAGTCTCCTAACAAGTCGGAACTTTTTTCCTGCATCCCGAAGACGCACATTGGCAAGAAACTGTGCCTCCTTTTCATTTTTTGTACATATAAGACGCACAACTGTGCGTTAATGAGAACTCTGCTCCGTTCGATTATTTTATTGAGCAAACATAGCTTAGTATACTGATAACCTTTCCCTTCCTAAAAAGATGTCTATTTCATTCTATTTCAGGCAGTGCGACGAATGATACTCAATCTACAGATATGGAATTTCAGTCCGTGTTATCTGCTGTTTATAGCATTTTCATATTGGCGTCACTATTCGGGAACTCGATGATCATCCACATCATACGAACAAATAACTCCATGAAAACTACCACCAACTATTTGATTTTGAATCAGGCTTGCGGTGATCTCTACCGAACATTAGTTGAATTAAAAAATATTACCTTTCGTTCAATGGGAAATAAGTGGTTTGGAGGATTCTTAGGTTTGATAACCTGCAAGTTGTTTCTGGCGAACTTGTTTCTTCCAACCATCTTTTCAGTTTGGATTCTTGCACTTATTGCTGTTGATCGCTTTTATGCGGTGACTCGAACTATGCGCACATCGCATTTGTCACAACATTTAAAGAAGATAGTTTTTACACTGTGGATATGGTCGCTAGCTTCTTCTGCAGACGTTCTTATTAAGGGAAGCATGAAAAGGACTGGAGACCATTTCGTTTGCTATTTAGAACACATCTTCGAACAGTGGAAACTATTTTACTCTATCACTGTGACTCTGAATTTGTTCCTGCCTCTTGTTACAATGGCGTTTCTCTATGGGATTGTTTGCTCTAAATTATGGTCTCGTGAGGTACCAGGAGAAGGAACCAATCAGAATCGAAGACAAGCTGAGGCCATTAAAACAGCAAGAAAAGTTACACTGATGATGATTACGCTCGTGGCGTTGTATTTGTTGTGTTTCTTTCCTTTTTACATCGGAATCACGCTGAAATTTTTTGGTTATGTGCACATCAATCCAAATAAGTTAGCTTCAAGTCTGTTGCTAGTAGCATTTGCATACAGCGGAATCAATCCTTACGTCTACTTCATCTACAGTAGGAACTTTCGAAACGGATTTAAAAATCATTGTAGAAATTGCTGTAAGAGATCACGGGTTGATGTTGCTGTTTTTTTCCGAGCTAAAAATATCGAGCTGCAGGAAATACCGGTTGAACAACCCTAAACATTTATCGCGGGTACGTTTTTATTCGATGGGATGGGTCTAAGTTGTTTTTAAGTAAGCCAGCAACACACATACAAAGACATAGAGAGGAGGGATAAAAACAAATGGTCAGGAAACATATCAAAAACTACAAGGCTTGGGGGCGTAGGATCCTTTGTGTCAAAGACCGGACAAATAATTATTATATAGAGGTGATAGTGAATCACTTGTTGACAATAAGATAATATTGAAGATTATTCTACCAAAATAAATGCATAGCATATATCTACCGGTTCTAAGATTTTCCATATTGTCATGAATATTTCAACTCGTCTTGCTCTACGTTCCTAGCAATATGCACACATTTACTTGTTTGGCGCTCCTCAATATTTCGAATTCAGTCTCACCGCTAATTCTTTCTTAAATGTGCCCCTTTTTATTGATGGAAATTAATTTCCTATATTTTTCTCTGAAGGATGTGGCACATTGAGAGGCAGTAGGAATATGGTTTTTGGGAAAGACAATTTACTTAAAAATAAATTTTTCTTATAATGATAAACATATATGTATTGAATACTCCATACAGTAAATGGACTCTGATGATGACTTCCACTCAGGTTGTCGAAACGTCAGTCACCACTACCGACAAGAGTCCTTCACAGGCTGCAGTCACCCGGACGTTCAAAATACACTTTTCATACTCCATACAGTATTGCCTTTCCTTTAGGCAGGAAGTAGTAAATCAAATTTATTTGGATCTATGTACTGTGTGTTTAGCATTGCACGTGATATTGAATTTTCTTTGAAAGAGAACAAATAAAATAAAACAAAAAAAAAATCACTACTTAGATCAATAAGTTATGCTGTATGCAGCAATCAACTTTGGTTTTAACTTACTCGAGATTATCAAATCGCACTCTCGCGATTTTTTTCATCACTCGTATGATTACAGACCAAATTTGGACTCCACTTGGTCCTATTACCAAAGAGCTCTTTGAAAACCACTGCAAGCCACGAATGGTTTTATGTCATTTCTTCAACTGATGAAGACTATTCATTACATTTCATAAAGCAGGTTGTGGTTTGGAGAAAATGCAGTTGCAGATTTTACTTGCAAGTTCTTTCTGACAAGCTTATTTGTTCTACCTGACTTCTCAATTTGATTACTCGTAGTGATTGGTATCGATCGCTATTACGTAGTGAGTCGACCTCTGCAAAGATCTCCCGTATCTTGAAAATGCTAATAATAATATTGTAGGTATCAGGTTTTCTTTCATCGACTAAATTTATTATTGAAGCATGTGTTAAGAAACATAACACATCTTACTACTGTGACCTCGAGACATCTTTAAAGAGAGGGGGAAAATTAAACGCTTTTGGACTGGTCTTCAAAATTTTCCTGCCTCTATTTGTCATAATAATTCTCTAATTTATACAACAATGTGCAATAAACTTTGGTCCCGTGAAGTACCAGGAGAAAGATTCAATCAGGAACAAATCCTAGCTGAAGTCATAGCAACAGCAAGAAAGGTTACCGGGATGATGTTTTCTGTTGTAGATGATGATGATGATGATGTTTTCAGTTTCTCGTCTGTTGGCTTCCTATCCTCATAACCATGGCAATGACGATCTCCTGTTCCCTTTGTGGTTGACTGTTGTTTACAGTACACTCAATCCTTGCGCTTTTTTTTGCCTTTAGTGCAAATTTTAGAAACGCGGCTAAACGATCGTTCGGAAATTTTTTAATCCTTTTAGCTCTAACAAGTGTGATATAGAACATTCTCTAGCCCAGTAAACTTAAACTTAATCAAGGGGTTGCGATTTCTATCCTTGCACTTGTCTCGGAACTTCAAATGAACTACACGTAACTTCAATATTCATTTTTTATCAAAACTATGGTGGAAGAAGATTGCATACAGTACATCTTTATATCTTGTGTTACTTTACTTTAAGGTTTGAAATAGTTATGCCCTTTCATCACATGACGGTGCATTTAAAATAAGTGATATTGAAGAGCAATTTTATAATTCTTTAAGCCTTTTTGGTAAAGTAAACAATAATTGTACAAATGTCATTACGATCAGTAAAAGAGAATAAAAGAATCAAAGAATGCTATCTCTTAGAGTGTTTGGAAATGAACCGAAAGAAAAGAGTCTTAGAAAATTTATTTATACAGAGATCGTAACGAGGAGGCGCCCAAAGATTTTTCTTCAAATAATTCTGAACATCATCAACTTCTGCATCTTTTCATTAAAAGCAAAAGTATCACTGACAATACTGGTACCTGCTTAATGGTACTACATGTACCCTATCTCTTGTAATTTCTGCGGCAATCATCTGTTTGTGTATTATAGTTTCATATTACATAGAGCGCTTTCTGATAAACTGATCTTAAAGGATGACGCAGCTGAATACAAATAGGCAAATGACGATGGAGGACCTTATTATCACGAACCTAATAACTACCACCAGTAGAGATCAAAGTAAGCTTTACATCCTTGGTAGTGATGCTATTGGGAAAAAAAAAGCAATTAAATAGGAACTAGCATACTTCATTTTTATGATCCAGTCATTTTGAAAGGTTCAGAGCGAGAAGAGCGAGGACGAAATCTGAAAGTTTTATCATACAGATACACCTAGTAAACATTCTTACTTAAGAATGGCTGCCTGTCAGGATCGAGAATTGTCCGTCAACGACCATTTTGGTGAATTGCTCATATTTTGCTCAAAGATACCCTTTGATAAACTATTTTCAAAAATTATGTTTTTAAGTTTCAGCGATTATTAAATTTTCATAAATTTGCGAAAATCTGAAAACGCGGTTTTCAGGCTTCCGGAGCTCAGGCTCCGCATGACGCACAGTCAAAAATTAACTGCAAAAACCAAGCCCCGTTTAAGGATGAAAATGGAATCAATCAACACCAAACTTCACACGATATTAGGACAGCTATTCTCATTCAATTCTAGTGAGTGTTTTTTTTGGGCACATCGATTTTGGGATTACTTAAGCCCTTGAAAGAACATCCTCACAGACCGCGTAAAATGGCAGCGAAAAACGGGTGATATTTCACGCGAAAAAAATGTACCTGGTACCACATATTTTAGATTTTCAACAACATATTCGTGAAATATTGCTATTTTCCATTCATTGTGGAAAGTGTGATGCTCGGAATCGCATTGCTTCCTTTCGAAAATGGCAGAAGTGTTTGTGACTTGAGCGAGCAAAATGATGCAAAGTGTGTAAACAAACAACAAGGTAATTTAATCATATCGAGTTGTTAAATCTCCAAATTAAATCCGGCCTCTGCTGTGTCGGTTTGTAGCTCGGAAAATGTAAAGTAAATTATTCCGTAAGATATTTGAAAAGGTTATACAAAATATTTTTGGCTAAAAATCTGCAAGTGAAGTACATATTACATTAGCACCAACTCACATTCAAGTAATGCAAAAGATACATTCGAGAGAAGCTACTTAGTAGATTAGTACTTGATTCCATGCTGATAAATTAGATTTTTTTTTTTTATCTTTTACTTTGAGAACTCATTTTCTGTAGGTTTAAATACATGGAAAGGCGACTTTTGACCTTCAAAGTAATTAAATGCAAGGCGACAGTTCTTGTTATCCTAGTGATTATCAATGTCACGCAACGTAACGCCATTGGAAACGTGTCGGGGTGCTGAAACATACCCGCGTAGAAACCGCAAATGAAATAATTATGTCGTTAAATTCTAGAAAGAAATCCCGCACTTCAAAATGAGCGGAAAGAAATGTAGGTTGAATACTCTCACGTCTGTCAGTTTGCATGTGTCAGCTACCAGATGAGTAAACTTCATTACCGATGTGAAGACCAGAAAAGGAAAGTGAGGGTCAATATTGGCATGATTAAAAGAGAAACAGAACAAAACGAAAGAACTTCTAATTACTCTACGAGCTTTAAAAATGAGATAACTAGTAACTGACGATTAGGAACGAGTCACCGTTAATTCGTTTCTTCCTCACTTTTCTATTCTGCTAAACTAAAGAGAAAGTCAGCATCACGATGACTTTTGGCAAGTACATTTGCTGACAATCTCTTTCAGTAGAGCCAAGTACGGGGCCTTTTTACGCGTGGGCTTTGATGGTATTTCGAGGCCAAGGTCTTCACACATGTGCTGCAGCATGGGTAGCTTCAAGATCTTCAAAGAGTCATTTAGCGCCATTTCACAAAGATCGTACTGATCGTAGATCAGGGGATGGTCAAGTTGTATTGACGCGACAGTCTCCTTTGCTTCGCTAAAATTACTCTCCTCTTGAGCTGCTCGGATATCAGCCTCATCAGGATCTCTCTGGCGTACTAAGGCACTCTGTCTTGAGAAGAAGGAGGTGATCTGGGTGGTTGTGAGGAATTCCGATGACTGGAATAGTCGTGCACCATCGGTGCCCCGGGCACGCCGCATTTCTCGAGGAACTACCTCTGCGTCAAGCTTGTGGCCTGTCGTCTGCCCTATTCGAAATTTAGATAAAAGGTACGACTTTTGCTTTTCACTGAACCTGTAAGCCTTCCTTACTACTCTAAGAGCCCATCCTTCTTTCAGAGAAACACGAGAATCTTCCTGTCGTACAGGGGCTTGAAGCGATGGCAGCTTTCCCACACCTTCCACCAAATACGATTTGTAGCCAATTTTTGCCAAGTCCATTAAAGAATTTTTTTCTGGTACCCTGGTACATTTTTCAAGTGACAAGTGCTTTTCTAAGGCTGAAAGCCTTTGAAAAACACGAGTGCAGCCGTCTTGAGGACATGAATACACCCCTGCTGCCTGACCACGTTCTATGGAAGCTGTCTCTTCAGACACATTTTCTTCCCCTGACGATTTGTGGGGGGTACTTTTATAGGAACGGAAATCTCCTGCAGAAAATGATGGCTGCAGAATCCCTTGTCCAGGACCTTCAAAAGATATAAGAGAAATATAAATATGACAGCCACACAGCTAAGAAATAATTATCTTGCATCAACGCGTAGCCCTCAAAGGCAGCCCACGACAGAATACCGTGTAAGAGGGGTTTAAAATACTCACCCCTTTTTCTTGTGTTTTGTTTGTTTGAGCAGCGTTTTGTAAACATTTAATCTCTTATGGAAAGTCTTTTATGATGCATTGTGGATAAAATGTTTCCCTTATTAATAGAAACCTTACAGAACAGACTGTCATAAACTAGCAGAAAGGCCTGGGCTCATTCAAGAACCATTAACTCACCAGAAGAGGATTTTTCAATTTTGATCACTTTCCCTTGGCCGACGGAATATGCACGCCAACAGGAAATAGAGCCCACTGAACTAAACTCAAAGTTGTTCAACTTGGTGATTCCTGTAATGGTTTGCACATCGTCTGGCGTTTCTTCGATGGTATCCAGAGAAACCACTCGTACACCTTCCAAACCGCCATGGGATAGCAGAGCTTCCTTCAGGTCGCTGGCGGTGCAGACATCATGGCCTTCATTAATAAATGCCCTAATGTGGCTTTTACAGCTCGCAGCTAGTCGATCTGCAGCCCCTTTCCCGCCTTGCGGGTCGCTGAAATCAACGCGGACTATCTTCACTCCGGTGTTCGCTGAAATTTCTTGGCACTTCGTTAACGTGCGGGAGGAGTGGTAGCAGCCGGCGTTATCTTGCCTGAAGTAGGCCTTGTTGATTTCAGGATACTCTTGCTTCAATGTGGCTAGAAACATGTTGCATAATCGCGGTAACAGCAGAACTTCCTTGGGTACAGGATTGAATCACATGGATAAAGGCTTGCCACTGTAGCACACCCTCCATTCGTCTGTATACCACAGATATGTGCCAAGAAATACCCGCTTACCAAACCAGTCTGTCTGTGACTCGCGGTATCTCTGAGGCAAGAACTTCATGGCCCAGTCATTTACGAGGAATACTGTTCCAGAATTAAGGGCATCGATGACGTCCAAACGAGCCTGATCTTGATGGGTCGACCTCAGCAAATGGCACTTCCATGACTTGATGGCAAGCGTAGCAGAGCTAACGAGAAACAAAGCTTCGTCTTTGTCTTCTTCTGTGGTAAAAGATGCTTCATCGACCGCAGTAGATATGTCGTTCAGGGTCGAATGCAAGCTTTCACATTGGTCACAGAGCTCATCATGGTTGTGTTTGCATTGCTGCCGCAGGTCAGAATCTTCGGTGTCACTCAGAGCAAATACACTGCAATGACTTACAACGGGAGAAGAAGCGCTCACGTGAACCTGAGTGACGTATATTTCCCAGTCAGGGTGGACCTGTCATCGGAACGGTTTTTTCGTGCCATGCTTCCATCCATTTGTGAAATAAGATAACCCTGCTTGAAAAACATAATCCAATTTTCTTGGAACTCTTGACACTTTCGGTTGCTTACCTTGAAATCACCCTTCAGGTAGAATTTGGCGACCTTTAATGATTTCACGTATCGCACTTGCCACTCCTTTCCACGACCAAGCTCCCCCAATTGAAGAACCAAGCCTTCTAGTTCATCGAACGCACGCGCCCCGTCTGCTGCAAAATAGTCAAGGCCTTGGAGAGACTTTCTGGTCGAGGCCTTGCATTCATTTAGAACACGCAGCATCGTCCGCTCGCTGAACGCCTCAAATCCAGTCTCTTTGCAGTACTGGGTATACTGACGCACTATCCTTTGCGGTATCATGGTGCGAATAACATTGGGTACTTCAACCAGTTGTCCAGAGGAGAGCTTCAGTGTTTTTTGTCCAAATGGCAGATCTTGCACCAAATGGGGGCTTGTTATATAAGATAAAAAGTGATCCAGTTGTCTTGGGTCGACTCTTATCTTTGATGAAGGCTGGGGGGTCACTGAAGCGCCGCTTCCGTGCTGAAGACAATGCAGATTAGCTATGGTAAAACGATATCTACTTAAGCCAGGTATGAATCTCGAGATATCATTATAATTGGAAACACCACTCATCATCGAAAGAATTTGCCGTCTTGTGTCCCACCCATGGGCTTTGTCATATGCCTCAGCTAAGACCTGGAGGTAGCATTTGGAAGTTTCGGAGAGTTCGTCCAGCCCGAGTGCTTCGTTCATGGCAGGATAAGAGACAACTGCTTGCCAAAGAGAACCTGCACAACTGGGTGTTAGGTCGTGGAGCACAGAAGAAAAAATATCTGCGGTTCGTCTAGTATACCGAAGCTTAGTGCTGTCACTGGCCTTTTCCCACTCAAAGGTTGAGAGACAGGTTCAATGTTTTTGGACACCAGATACTCGTTCAACTTTTCACGGGAATTTGGCTTTGAGGTGATGCTCTCTTCACTCATTGAGGAGACGAGGCTTGCAGTATCGGGACTGAGAAACGTCTCGTCATCCTTCAACCCCTGGGATGATATTTCCAGAAACATCAAGTCCGTCTCTAGACCATCAGAAGATGACTCACTGCCAGCACTTGATTCCTCTCCTGGACAGCCTGTTTCCATCTCATGAACCTACGAAAAGGTTTGCTCTATAAGCATCAAATCTCTAAAACCGATTTCTTTGTATATGTTTGTAGGGAATCAGTATCGGGTAATAAAAAATCTCAGCAGCACCAGGTACTGTTTTGGGACATCCAGAAAACAAACAAATGTGGGACAGGAATTAGCCTACCAAAGTGCGGCATAGCACCGCTCCCCTTCCCCACCCCTCATATAAAAAAAGTGACCGAAAAGCAGTGAGTTTTACTGGTCAACGAAGGAGCCTTGTCCCAGATTAACAACTGTGTTTGTCACGCTGTGTTTGTGTTTGTCACGTGTTTTTTCTTCCTCGATTTTTTTTCAAATTTCTATGCTCTTCTAAAAATGACTCTTTTCCTTTTAAAAAACAAGATTGAGATCATCAATTCATATTTGAAACTTACCATTGTCTGTTGTTCAGGTATCTGCACCACTCGAGGCTCTTTAGGGGTAGACACAGTACTTGCTCCAGCGCCCTCTGCCGGCGTCTGTTCATCTGCAACTTGCCTGCAGATAAACTCGTCGCATCGCCTACAAATTGCTTTTATTAAAAAAAAGCAAAGTAAATAACTCATATCAATTACTATTTCTAGGTATAAAGTAATCAATCTGTCATCAATCAATGGATTATCAGCTACTCAGACGAGAAAAAACGTTGGCAATATAAATTGCAGTTTCCTCACAAATATAAAATTTGCTAGCTTGAGAAAGTTGAAACTTATAGTGCTTTTTTTTTTTTGTGTAAGGTATTACAAATAAACGTGAGAAAAAGCAATTTCATGAGAACATTTATCAACAGAAGCAATTCAACTTACGCGACCCAACTGGAACTAAGGTGTTGGTGTTGCAAAAAATATACATCGATTTTCGGCTATCCACACGGTTGCTTCCTTTGGCACTTGAGGACTTATGTGTCGCTAGATCCTTGGGAATTGCACAAAGGGTTTTCCTAGTCCTCCAACGTATGCCAAAGTCTGCCCTATGGCGTGGGCAAATAGTCAGGGTAAGATGTTTTTGCTCAAATGAGAAAACACCTGTAAACAAAAATAAAACACCAATTAAATCTGTTGCAGCACTCATTCATAAGCGCAGTAAAGTTACCTGAAAACACAAAATCAATATTTACCGGCTCTGGCTAATAGCAGCTTCGTTTCAGTTCTAGAACCTTCATCTGCACTCAGTCCAAGAGTCGATAGATGTCCAGTTACATCTTTCGTGCAATCCTCGAGTGTAATGCATTCCACCTGACCAGGATAATCAGGAGATCGCCCGCAAGGGGTCACCTTACCAACTAGCGTTATATAGCTACAGAGAGCCATAAAATGACAAGAAATAATAACTTCTGATGAGAGCACGTATGAAAGCTCAAGACTCGTCCGTGAAATAACTTTCCTTAGATCTGTTACGAAATTTCAACCATTTGCGCAAGAGCTTCGTGGGCAGTGATGACGTGACAGGCTTTACCACGAGAGAAAATTGTGTTTGAATTACAGCATCTTGGTCAAGATGGTGCGAGATGTTGGAAGCTCAATGAAAATACATCTGAGATTGAAGTATAATAGTGTTATCGTGTAGTTATCAGACCTTGAGTAAAGTTTTTGTTTTCAGTCTTTGGTATATTTCATGATGACAGCCCATTTAGGGTCTCATGTGGTGCGGCCAGTGTTTGTTGGGACCGGATGTCGGTTAATTATGATAAATAGGAACAATTCGCGTTAATACACTGAACTGCTTGTAAAGAATGCTGTTCTCCTTCTGTATTCGCTGGAATTCTTGATTTATATATACATATATATCTAAAACAAACTAAAACAAAGCCCTTGCAGATGAAATGTTTAAAAGTCATTCAACAGACTGATCAATTGTCACAATTTTCGTAATCGTAATACTTGTAATGGTGATCGATGAAATGACTGTAAGAACATTTTCGACGGTGATTTTATTTTCTCTCAGCTCTCACACAACTCTGAATGTACGACTTCACTATAACTCGATATTTTGTGGAATACAAGTCAAACATTTCCAGAATTAAAGTTTATTTTAAAACCTTTTTCCACCAGGGAAGGAATGATAAGATTAGCGTTTGTTTACACAACACACATCATTTTGCTCGCTCTGGACACAAACATTTGTGGTATTTTCGAAGGGAAGCGGTCCGATTCAAAGCATCAAAGTTTACTCAGGAAATAAATAGTATCATTATATTACGAATATCAAGTTAAAAAATTGAAAAATGAGGTACCAGGTACACTTTTATCGCGTTAAATTTAACCTATTTTTTTTGCTGTCATATTAAGCGCTCTTTGAGGGTGTTGCTAAGAAGACTTAAAAATTCTCAGTATCAATGTGTACAGAAAAATTAACATAGTGAAAATGGATGGGAAGGCTTTTTCTTATATCGTGTGAAGTTTGGTGTCAATTGAATTCATTTTAAGCCTTCAACGGAGCTTGGTTTTTGCAGTGAATTTTGGACAATTTGATAGGCGGAAAACCGCACTTAAACCGCGTTTTCAAATTTTCGTCAATTTCTAAAAATTTTATAATCGTCGGAACTTTTAAACTTGATTTTTGAAAATAGTTTACCAAAGGGTATCATTGGGCAAAATATGAGCAATTCACCAAAATGGTCGTTGACGGACGATTCTCGATCCTAACAGGCAGCCATTCTTAAACTCGATTTTGGAACTTTTTGGTTAATAGTTACTCATTTACCCACTTATTTATTCCTATGTTCCTTATCAATGCAAAATGCTGAAAACCGTTAAAACATAAAGAATTTCCAAATAATTTTTATCCTAAACTATTATTTCAAAAATTTTTCGCGAGAAAAAATTTATTCAAAATATCGGGACATCTGCTCATTAAGTTCGAGGTCAATTGAAGAAGGAAATAAAAGACAGAAAACGGAAGATAGGTATTTTAATAGTCAGATTGGTGTGACTTAGATGAATATAAAAGAAAGAAAAGAAAAGAAAGAAAGTTGCTATTTCGCACTAAAAGGACAAGATGTTGAATAAAAACAACGAGAGACATCTTTAATATGAATTCTTCGATGAAAGGGCGAACATGGTGAGCAATATGACAGATGATATGAAATGGAAAATATCCCCTTGTAAATATGACTTTAATATTTGTTCATCCATTAACAGCAACCAATCCCAAAATCAAGGTATTTAAAATTTTAACATTAATATTATTAATATTTTTCAATAATAACATTATCAGCATAATAACCCTTACAGAATTTTGTTAAAATCGCAAAAACATGGAACAAACATTTACCCAAACAGGCTATTCCTGAAAAGGAAAGGATTGAGATATGAAAAAATATATAATCCTCTATCTTCTTAACTGAAACAGTGGATTCGAAGCTGCCTGGTTCTTTGGTTGAGATTGAAAACACATAAGTTTGATTTAAAAATAAGTTTGAAATATGCCTGGTTCTTTGATTGGGATTGAAAACACATAAGTTTGATTTAAAAAGAATAGCGCAAGAAGACCGGAAAGGTTTACAATTCACCTCGTTCAAATGTCAAAGTTAAATGACAAACAAACACGACAAAAGACTCGAAGTTGTCTGGTTCTTTGGTTAGGACTGAAAACACATAAGTTTAATTTAAAAAGACTAGCACAAGAAGACCGGAAAGGTTTACAATTCACCTCATTCAAATGTCAAAGTTAGATTGCCTAACTTGATAAAAATATACCTTCATCCGTAGATGACAAACAAACACGACAAAAGAGCAGATGCCACCCCGTCATGGTCAATATCCTGTTGTGCGTATTTTATTTTCTTGAAGATAAGGATAGAATGTAAGTAAGTTCATCCAAGATACACATCCACTGGTTTTTTAAAAGTAAATAGTATACCGATGGTATCACTAATACTGCATCGCTTATGATGCAAAGTGGTCCGCTGACTTCGACCCAATAGAATAGGATAAAAGCGTCCTTATAGATAGGACTTTACATCGAAAATAAAAGGAAAGACAGTCATTTTAAGGTTGTTTCATTTAACACTGAAATGTCAACACCTACACTGTGACTCATTTGATGTCGGTCAAATAATATTGTCAGACTCTTGTAAAGATGATATATTAATAAACACAACTTCCCCTCGACTTTGTTTCATATATAGAAATTAAATTTACCAACGTTATTTTTAAACACCAATTTTTCTTTCAAAATCACACCTGCTACATTCTCCTCTGTCATTTTTCCTCGCTTTTAAGCAGAGCGGATTGTTTTCAACAATGTTTACATTGTGGTAACTTAAAGTTTCCCACTGGATTCCCAAATTCTCAAAATTCCATTTTTGAAAGAAAAGTGTCAGGCTTGAAGAGGAGGACACGATGTCTAATAACAAAAGCAACGACTTCAGTGTCAACTCTACCTCAAAAAACAAGAGCGAAACACTAAGCATCAAGTTTTACATGTATATAGTTCCTTTGATGTACGTCGGATATGGCATTATATTTCTGGTATCATTGTTTGGAAACTCTCTCATTATATATACACATAATACGAACTAATAGCGCGATGAAAACAGCAATAAACTACTTGGCCTTAAACCAATCTTGCGCTGATCTTTTCATCACAATCATGTGCTTCCTTAATATTATTCGTGAGACTTCATATCAAGGATTGTGGTTTGGAGGAAATATAAGAAACATCACTTGCAAGCTATTTCTAAGAATCCTTTATGTCCTCACAGGTTTTTCCATTTGGCTGCTCGTAACAATTGCTGTTGATCGCCTTTACGCAATAACTCGCCCGTTACAAAGATCACCTATATCTCGAAACCTTAAAAAAGTAATACTTATACTATGGACAGGGGCATTTGTTAATTCAATAAACATTTTTGATAACACGGTCGTGCAAAAGATTGAAGAATCTTACTTCTGCAAGTCGTTGACGAATGCTCTCCAAAAAGGACCACCCTTTTTCTTTTTAGTCCTTTAGATTATGACCACTGGTTTATATTTCCTTTGTGCTTAACTTTTGTTTACAGCGGACTGAATCCTTAAGTGTATTTTTACTTCAGTTCAAATTTTAGATAAGGACTTAATGCCATTCCTTTTCGATCCCAGAGCATAGAACTTCAACAAATTTAAAGCAAATAATTACACACATCAAAGAGGTTCCAGGTTTCTTTATTTTTTCTTGGAGTAAACGAGAATACCGATTACCACAGTGATTTTCATTTTCATCCTCGGCTAATTTTCAATACATAATATCTCATCCTAAGACAACATATTTATGGCTTGACGTATGTTTCCATATTTGGTGCAACTATACATAAGCTTTTCTAGGCTAAATTTTACAAGTTTGGTTGAATGATTTTGCGATGACATGGCGTAAATATCTCTCTTTCTTATAGAACTATTTAATACCAAGAACTCCAGTTTAATTGTCAACGTTGGAAAACAATAAAAGCTCGGAACACATTTCCTCACATGCAATACGGCACCCGTGAACCAAATCAACACGTTTTGACCTTTAAAGTGTCTATTTAACTCGCCCGCGTTCAGTACCAGTAGATTGTTAATAATTTAAAAGTACTTCCAATTACCCAACTAACATTTTCAGACACGCCCTTAAAACAAATATATTTATTGCTAGCAACTAAACCTAATTACACACGAGGACGTGTGGGTTGTCCAAGTGACACCCGCCCCTTGAAAACAAAGTCAAATGCAAACTTAAGGAAAGTTCGTTTATAAAAAAAAATACTTATTACATACCTGATTTTGTTTTTTTCTTATCGCGATAAAATAAACTATTCCTTTTAAACTATAATAATAATAATGGTAATATCATTACTTTCCTAAACGCGAGCAAAAACTAAAGAAAACTAATCTGTACGAAGTGGTCCATGTGCTAAGTGAGAGCATGCTTTAAGGAGTTGCCTACCTGAAATTTTACTCGCAGTGTAGTTCTCCCAGTAGCCAAAGATTCATGCTTGAAGTGCGCGATATTTTTTACGCTGGATCCTTTGCAGTTTTCTGGCGTTGACGAGTCGAACTTGGACGGTGCACACAGAGGACTCTCGGTGAAGCAGCTGAATCAGTAGGTAGAAAGGTAGATGAACTCTACCACCAGCGCGTCGGTTGAGGGAGTTATGCCATCCCTCGATATCATTATTGGTACGGACAGGCTGTCCGTAGACGCTCCAGGAACTGGGTGGACAAGCGTTGGTGTTGATCCATCGGATGCCGAAAGAGAACATGCAACGCACAACCAATCAATTCTTTCTCTGATCATTGCTAAACGGTAGGTGGTTTGGTCGATACCAGTCCCGCAGATACGATGCTGCCAAAAGCCGCAATCGTCGCACTGAAGGGCTTGCTGGCGTGGTCGAACTTCATTTCTGCGCTCGATACAGGGATGAAGGCTCATTGTATAACGATCTCGTACATATATATAACGATCTCGAGCTTCAGCTAGCTGATTATCTCGGAATGAGGTGGCTGTTATTAATTTACCCTCTTTATATATGGTTAACCGGATCAAAATTTACATGCGACCGGCCGAGGAAACAAGGAACAACTGAACAAGTCGCGATAATTTATGCCGCGTCTGATCCTAAGGGGAATGATGCTAACACGCTTTGTTCGCGTGGTTAACATTAAAGAAAAACATCGCTGTAAAAGTTTCAGGTTGTTTTTTATACGATAAATCAAACTAAGAGAACTTGATGTATTTTTCTGATATGTGTGAAAAATTCTGATAACTGGAAGTGTTCCGCTTATAATTACTAGAATCTGTAAAGTAGAATGAGCAGTTAAGTTCATAGCAACGAACAACACTGAAATGAACAGCGATATTTGAGTCTTTGTTTTACTTCATATTCGCATAGGTTCGCGGACGAAAACATTTTACGAGTCAACATTTTACGAGTTTATTCCTTGCGAATGTTACTTTTCTTCAAGATTAAATACCCGATAAAATTTGGCAACATGACTCTGGTTCCGGGCGACATGACTTCGGGCGAGATGACTTTCGGGCGACTTGACCGGTTACCGTTCTAAAGAATGAGTAAAATTTAGAGTGAAGATTACTTGTGTTGAAGTTCCTTTAGTTTCTATGCAAGCAACTGGAAAATAATCTTAAGGACGTGAGTCATTTTCAAGGAATATGTAAACATCTGAAAGAGCTGTAAAGAAAGAAAAAACACGCGTGAAAGTAATCCTTATTTGCCCTCGAGAAGATACGATTGCACATAATTAGGATTTTTGCAAGACACAGGGTACGTGTTCCTTTGATTCTAGCTTCATCGTGTTCTTTTTTTGGAAGTGAGAGAATAAGGTGGTTTGGTGTAACTGAAAATAAAACAATAATCAGAAGAAAATAAACTGTTAAGAGGCTGCAAGGCTTTTTCTTAGCAGAAAGACAAAGCAATTAAAAAACTTCATTGGTAAAACAAAACAAAACATTTAGTACATGTCTTAGAAGATGAAATAAGTAACTCAGTAATATAAACGATTTTAAAGAGCTTTAATGAGGCCTGAAAAATTTTGTACCTTCGGATAATTTTGTCAGCCTCTTTAAAAAATAATGCTTAGTTTGCATATGCCTTTGAGTCCATCATCTTTTGTGAAAACAAGGTTTTGCCTTCACAAATAAACGGACGGACAGGGACAACTCTTAAAAACTCCTTCTGAGGCTTTCCTTGGGGGCACTCGCTGGCTGCGGGAAGGAACCGGAATCTATTACGGCTGCTGACTATCCTTGAGAGAATGACTAACAACAACAGGGTTGGCTCCAACGTAGATTTATTCTGCAAGCTCTACTACAATTTTGACCAGAACGGACCTGGCCAGGGCTGGTTCGACCCCGCTCTTCTCATCTTAAGCTTTACAAAACAGTCCTATTTAAACCTAACGTACATGGATAACGTAATGCCATGAATAATCTAAAGAATCATGTAATCTACTACACTATTGGCTAAGCAGGAATTTCGCCTTTTACAAGATTAATTACTTTTTAAGAGTTCCGGTGGATAACAATGACACAAAAGGACACGAAAGGTGGCTGTTACAGTTTAACACTACTAACAACTGTTTACGAGTGACTGAAGGAGAACTGGTAGCGTTTACGCTTTGCTGAACTAAGCTTTCTACGTTGAATATTGTATTTTTTTACGCGCAAGCATGAAAGAACTCGATAACTAAAAATCCTATCGTTACACTTTCAATCAACTTCAGAACTGCTGTCTATGCATTAATATTTAATTTCAAATTTAAATAATCTAAAGAAAATTACTTCCAAAACAATATGCAAATGTGCATCCCTTCATTTTGGTAGTAATTTATATTATTTCTTGTGAGCTAATGTTTGTCACAACACAATTGATATCACTGATAAGAAAAGGCACTGTTTTCGAAGTGAAAAAAGAAAACTTCCTCCAAGCATACTGTAGTTCTAATCTTCAAAACCTCAAACGCCAGAGATGGACTCATCCAATTTGTCGAACACCGGTGGTATTAACATAGGACCATTAATCAACACGAGTCTGAAAGTTCCTCAGAATGAAGGTAAAACATTTGCGTTGCTGACACACACAAATTAGAAATACGTTTAACATGCAGTAAATTATAGGGAAACCTTTGTTGTAGTAAATTATGCGAGGCTCCAATATTCCTTGTAGACGGTTATGATGATATCTCCCTTTTCGCACCTCCATTATACGAATTTATTCGGTGGAACTTAACGGTAGCATTAATCAACACGAGTCTGAAAGTTCCTCAGAATGAAGGTAAAACATTTGCGTTGCTGACACACACAAATTAGAAATACGTTTAACATGCAGTAAATTATAGGGAAACCTTTGTTGTAGTAAATTATGCGAGGCTCCAATATTCCTTGTAGACGGTTATGATGATATCTCCCTTTTCGCACCTCCATTATACGAATTTATTCGGTGGAACTTAACGGTAGCATTACGAAAAGCAGAGTACATATAAAAATCTGAGGGGAAGAAACAACGCTGGACGATCACACCTCAAAGTAATACAGGAACAACTCGCACGAACAGTTTGACATTCTTCATGCACTGACGCTTAAGATAGATATGATAAACCAATATGTGATAAACAATCTCTTTGAATATCAGAAGCAAGCAAGTAAAATACCATTAAACTAATGCTGTTGAACCTCTTTTTACGCATTCGATCAAAATGACAAATTTGATTTTTTCCTTGTAGGAAATATTGCAAGGGGAAATGGAGAAGGACAAGGCTACTTAGAGATAGCGATGTTTGCTGCCTACGTCATCATATTCCTGGCCTCGCTATTAGGCAACTCCGTTATCATTCATATCATTCGAGCAGATAACTCCTTGAAGACCACAACAAATCGTTTGATAATGACCCAAGCATATGCAGATCTTTTAATGACATTCATAGAGCTTCCGTTTTCTATTTATCACAGAATAACGAATAGTTTATGGTTTGGAGGAGTTTTTGGTTTCATTACTTGCAAGATGACTCTGGCTGCTGTGTTTTCCGTACCACAATTTTCAGTATTGATGCTTGTCATGATTGCAGTTGACCGTTTCTATGCAGTACTTCTACCTTTGCGACAGTCACCTATATCAAAACATTTGAAAAAAATTATTGCGATTCTCTTGTTATGGTCTTCTGCTTGGTCTCTTTCCTTTATCAATGCCAAGAACTTTATAAAAGCCAATAAATCACATTATTGTGATTTATCACTTCTGTTTAATAACTGGAATGAATTCAACATTACTTCTCTTGTTTCATGCATTGTAGTACCTCTTTTGATAATAGTAAATCTTTATGCGGCTGTGTGCTGGAAACTGTGGTCTCGTAAAGTTCCAGGAGAAGGAGAACATCAGATCAAAGCTCAAAGAATAGCAAAAAGAGTCACCCTAATGATGATTGTGGTAGTAGTATTATACATACTGTTCTGGTTTCCTTCGTTTGTAATCGGCGTCTTGCATTTTTTTAAATATGCGAAGTTGCGGGGAAAGTTACTTTTATTATTTATGTGGCTACCAACTTCCTATAGCGGCCTCAATCCTTACGTTTATCTCATATTCAGTCAAAACTTTCGCAAAAGCCTCAAAAAACTGTTCGGAAATTTCTTGCGACCTTTATATCGTATTTCTCATCGCTCTCGTTCAGTAGAACTGCAGCAAATCTAAATTTCGTGCTCCATTACAACTATACGAGACCGGCGCTGCGAAACTTTTAGCATCTAATATGTTAGTTAAAAAGAGAGTGAAATAAAATGATATGATAACAAAGGTTTCGATCTTTGCATCCCCAGATTTATCACTTCATAACAACTCGTGAATACCATCAGGTTTAAACCTTATGCTTGCATAGCCCTGCATTCACAGGTTCTTTTTCAAATGAGTTTCCAGCGAAATGGCTTATTTTACCCATTGTAATCAAACCAAGATAAAATTCCAATTACACATATAATAACTATTAAAAAGTATCCCAGTAGTAAATAAAACAGAGTGGATTAGACTGACTTACGGGGGAGCGAGTCGTGGTAAATGGAGGTGGTTTTAAGTGGATAGGGTTAAATTATGATGGGTTGCAATGAGGTATTGGAGTCGGGTAAATTAGCGTCGATCGAGATGTTGATGCTTCATTGGCCGTTTCTGTTTTTTTGTTTGTTTGTTTGTTTGTTTTTTTGGTTAACCTTGGGTTTTAACTCTTGTTTGAAAATCTCGGCTCGTTTTGAACATCAGAGTATAGAACTTCATCGAACTAAACAAGAAATTTGTCGTGATCTCGAGGATATTTATCGCGAAGGTGAGTGATAAGCTGTTCAAGCAATTTTCACTCGGTCACTTCTCTTCAGACGAGATTTCCTGAGGTTAAGAAGAAACATTTGGATATCTTTTGCTCCAAAACTAAGGGTAACTTCGGCAACATTAACATCGTGTAGCGAATATATCTGCAGTCGTGTTTGGATAACTTTCAAGTAGCTAAGACATCGTGTAGAAAACCTCTTGCAAATTTACAAAGTTTAAAACTGAAATGAATATCTCTTTCTGGGAGGTTACTATACTACAGCTGTCACTGCTAGATAGCGAAATTCAAGTGAAATAAACTTTAAGTTAGGGAGAGTAAGTCAACAGAACAGAAGAACGAAACCTTTCTTCTTGGGTTCAATATTAAAAAAACTGATTATCATTCAGGAAAGGAGATGAACGAATGTACGGAGGATTCGTCAACAAGGAATCTACGAATGACCCGATAAGGTGCCTGGAGAAATAATGAAAATGCTGTTATTGACGCCCAAAACGAGAGCAAGTATAAGGTCAAGACACATTCTCATTCCATTAATTAAGATGGGGCTCATTGTTCAAAGCATAAACATAGAAAATTTTAAATTTTAATGGAAATTCACAAACATCTACAACTCATTTGATGATCTCATTATTTTTATGATGATGTTTTGATTTAAAAAAATGTTTCCGCGGCTCTTTTGATGTATTCAGGCGCATGAGAGAAATGAAATACAAATAAATATCAAACATACATAAAAAATACCACTTTAAAAATTATTTTTCCGAACACCTGAACAAAGCAGCGACTAAGCAAGTGGCTCAAACGGATTCTGAAGTCCCTACAATCCAGATATCGGAAAAAAAATAAGAACAAGAAAACAACATGGAAAATAACTACAAAAAGAGTTTCTAAAATCAACTCAGAGAAAAGGACCATGTTGACTAATCGATCAAACTTCAACTTCAACTCTATCCTAACGAGCACCAAAGAAACGGTAGAGACGGATTTTCATGTAATTATTCTAACATACTTTGTATACGGGACAATATTTCTAGTGTCGTTAGTTGGAAATTCTTTCCTTATACACATTATACGAACAGTCCTTTCCATGAAGACTGCAATCAATTACTTGATTTTAAACCAAGCTTGCGCTGATCTTCTCATTCCATTCATGCATTTGATGGATAATCTTCGTAACAGTTCTTATCATGGATTGTGGTTTGGAGGAAACATGGGTCACATTACTTGCAAGTTATATCTTGCAAGCTTTTATGTCCTCACATCTTTTTCTATTTTTCTACTCGTTGCAATTGCTGTCGATCGCTTCTACGCTGTATTTCGACCTTTGGATAGGACGCCCATTTCTCGAAACATAAAGAGAGTATTTCTGATATTGTGGACATGTTCGCTAATTAGTCCTACAACCGTTTTTATTAACCGGCACCTAGAGACTAGGAATAACTCTTACTTCTGCCATTCGAAAAAGTTTCTAAGATTTTATGAAGGGAAAGAATTTAAAGTCATATCATTAACCCTTGGCGTTGTCATCCCTCTAACGCTTTTGGCTATTATATACGCGAGAATATGCATAAAGCTATGGTCACGACAGGCACCCGGAGAAGGAGCCAGTCAAAATCAACGCCAGCTCCAAATTATAGCAACAGCAAGAAAGGTTACCCTGATGATGATCGCAATCGTTGTTTTATTCATTATTTGCTGGGTTCCTTATTATATATCGATGGCACTGATATATCTTGGCCTTGTGAAAGACAAGGCAGTTTTATTTTCAGTTTTGTTAACGGTCTCTTACAGTGGCATTAATCCTTACGTTTATTTCGCCTTGAGTGCAAATTTTAGAAATGGATTGAAACATTTGTGTGGAAATATTCGTGTTTTTCCCTTTAGATCCGAGAGTATGGAGCTTCAAAAAATTTAACATTAATATATATATATAAATTAATTCAAACACTTAGATTTAGTAATGGGAAATAAAGGATTGGATAGCAGTGTATTCCTTTTTCGAATAACGATTTTTCGACGATAAAATCCTGGCGGAGAACCTTGTAAGAAAAAAAGGAGGTGTATAATTGCTAGCTAATTGCCGGCTAAGGCTCTATCTTCTTAGTATAAACAGCGGAGTCAAAGCTGCTTGGCTCTTTGGTTGGGATGGACAACACTGATAAATTTTATTTAAAAAGGCTGGCGCACGAGGACCGGAAAGGTTTACAATTCACCTCATTTAAATGTCAACGATAGATGGTCAAATTCAATTGAAATATACTTCCATCCGTAGATGACAAACAAACACGACAAAAGATTAGATGCCACCCTGTCATGGTCAATATCCTATTGTGCCTAATTTTATTTTCATTTGAGATAAAAATTGAACGCAAGCAAGTTCATCCAAGATACGCATCCACTGGAATTTTTAAAAATAAGTGGTATATTCAGTGTATAGTGTATAGTCCGCTGACTTCGACTCAATAGAAAAGAATAAAAGTGTCCTCATACAGAGGACTTTACATGGAAAATAAAAGGAAAAAGATTCATTTTAAGATTATTTTCATTTAACACTGAAATGTCAACACCTACTGTGACTCATCTGATGACTTTCTGATAATATTACCAGAGTCTTAATATTACCAAGATGATATATAAATAAACACAACTTCGCCGCGGCTTCGTTTCAGAGAAGAATTAAAGTAATCAACCTTAATTTTCAAATGCAAATTTTGCTTTAAAAATCACACCTGCTACATTCCCCTCTGTCATTTTTTTCTTGCTCAGAAGCAGAGAGGTTTGTTTTCAACAATGTTTACATTGTAGTAACTTAAAGTTTCTCACTGGATTCCCAAATTCTCAAAATTCCATTTTTGAAAGAAAAGCGGCAGGCTTGAAGAAGCGGACACGATGTCTAATAACAAAAGCAACGACTTCAAAGTCGACTCTACCTTAAAAAACAAGAGCGGAACACTAAGCATCAAGTTTGACATGTATGTAGTTCCTTTGATGTACGTTGGATATGGCATTATATTTCTGGTATCACTGTTTGGAAACTCTCTCATTATACACATAATACGAACTAATAGCACGATGAAGACAGCAATAAACTACTTGGTCTTAAACCAAGCTTGCGCTGATCTTTTCTTCACAATCATGTGCTTCCTTAATGTTATTCGTGAGACTTCATATCAAGGATTGTGGTTTGGAGGAAATATAGGAAACATCACTTGCAAGCTATTTCTAGGAATCCTTTACGTCCTCACAGGTTTTTCCATTTGGCTGCTCGTAACAATTGCTGTTGATCGCCTTTACGCAATAACTCGCCCGTTACAAAGATCACCTATATCTCGAAACCTTAAAAAAGTAATACTTATACTATGGACAGGGGCATTTGTTAATTCAATAAACATTTTTGATAACACGGTCGTACAAAAGATTGAAGAATCTTATTTCTGCAAGGCATTAACGACTGTTCTCCGAAAAAGGTGGACAATATTTGATATTCTCATATTCGCAATGAACGGTCTACTACCTTTGACCCTCTTAGCGTGTCTGTACACAAGAATATGCATTAAACTCTGGACACGCCAGGTACCAGGAGATGGAGCAAATCAGAATCAACAAAGAGCAACAACTTTAGCTACAGCGTTTAAAGTTACCAGAATGATGATCGCTGTCTTCTCGTTATTTCTTGTTTGCTGGCTTCCATGGATTATAACAATGACCTTTTATCTTTTTAGTCCTTTAGATTATGACCACTGGTTTATATTTCCTATGTGGTTAACCTTTGTTTACAGCGGACTTAATCCTTATGTTTATTTTTCCTTCAGTTCAAATTTTAGACAAGGACTTAAACTCTTGCTTGCAAACATTTGTGCCATTCCTTTTCGATCCAGGAGCATAGAACTTCAACAAAATTAACGCAAATAATTACACACATCAAAGAAATTCCAAGTTTTCTTTTTTTTTTCTTGGAGCAAACGAGAATACTAACTATGTCACAGTGACTTTCATAATATGCTATCCTCAGGGATGGATAAGATTCTCGACAACAAGTTTAATTGTCAACGTTGGAAAACAATAAAAGATCAAAACACATTTCCTCACATGCAATGCGGCCATCTGTTAACCAAATCAGTAGGTTTTGACCTTTAAAGCGTCCATTTAACTACCCCGTGTTCAGTACTATTAGATTGTTAATAATCTATAAGTACTTCCAATGACCTAACTAACATTTTCAGCCATTGAAAAGAGACTCGGATGGATTTAAACAGTTTTTGTTCCCAAGAAATGGCGTTGAAACCTTTCAGAAACTCGTTACAAATAGGGAGATGGAGATATTAAAGGTTTCTGCAATTAAAAAAACAGCAACAACAAAAGAAAAAAGCCAAAGCGTTCCAAGGCATGATTAAAATGTAGAGTAAAAATTGCCTGTGTTGAAGTTCCTTTAGTTTCTAGGCATTTCTCTGGGAAATTATTTTCAGGACGTGAGTCTTTTTCAAGTAATATGTAAACACCTTTAAGAGTTATAAAGGAATAAAAAGGAAAAAGACAATCGAGTTTTAAAGGCGGCATTTGCTACCATTAATTTGGTCACGTTTAGTCTAGATAAATGTCAAACAAAGGAATGAACATCCGCACATCCTTATTAATTTGTTTCTTTTATTTCTTTCAATTTCAATCGACATCTGTTCATTGTCTGAGTTCCCACTTTGCCATGAACATATCTCCTTAGTTCACACGTGTAACTTTCCAACTTTACGCGACGACAAGACCTTAAAGGTTTCCTTTAAAAACATTTAACGTATAAAATATGAAATTACGGGTGAAAGTAATCCCTATTTGCCCTCGACAAGATGCGATTGCACATAATTAGGACTTTTGCAAGACATAGGGTAGGTGTTCCTTTGATTCTAGCTTTTGGAAGTGAGAGAATAAGGTGGTTTGGTGTAACCAAAAACAAAATAATAATCATAGGAAAATAAACTGTTAAGAGGTTACAAGGCTTTTTCTTAGTAGAAAGACAAAGCAATAAAAAAAACTTCATTGGTAAAACAAAACATTTAATACATATATTAAAAGATGAAATAAGTAGCGCAGTAATATAAACGACTTTAGGAGCTTTAATGAGGCCTGAAAAAATTTTACAATTTCTCGGAGAATTTTGTCAGCCTCTTTTGAAAAATGCTTAGTTTGCATATGCCTTTGAGTTCATCAACTTCAATCAACTTCAGTACTGCACTCTATGCATTGATGTTTTATTTCAAATCTAAATAATCTAAAGAAGATCACGTCCAAAACAATATGCAAATGTGCATCTTCATTTTGGTAGTAATTTTATATTATTTCTTGTGAGCTAATATTTGTCACAACACAATTAATATCACTGATAAGAAAAGGCACTGTTTTCGAAGTGAAAAAAGAAAACTTGCTCCAAGCATACTGTAGATCTAATCTTCAGAACCTCAAACGCCAAAGATGGACTCACCCAATTTGTCGAACACCGGTGGTATTAACAACGAACCAATAATCAACACGAGTCCGAAAGTTCCCTAGATAGAAGGTAAAACATTTGCGTTACTAACACACAAATTAAAAATACGTTTAACATGCGGCAAATTACAGAGATACCTTCGTTTTAGTAAATTATGCGAGGCTCCAATATTTCTAGTAGACGATTATGATGATATTTCCCTTTTCGCACCTCCATTATTCGAATTTATTTCGATGGAACTTAACGGTAGCATTACGAAAAGCGGAGTACGCGGAGTATGAAAATCTGAGGGGAAGAATCAACGCTGGACGATCACACCTCAAAGTAATACAGGAACAACTCGAACGAACAGTTTGACATTCTTCATGCACTGACGCTTAAGATAGATAATGGAAAAACCAACATGTGATAAACAATCTCTTTGAATATCAGAAGCAAGCCGGTAAAATACCATTATACTAATGCTGTTGAACCTCTTTTTACACATTGGATCAAAATGACAAATTTGATTTTTTCCTTGTAGGAAATATTGCAAGGGGAAATAGAGAAGGACAAGGTTACTTAGAGATAGCGATGTTTGCTGCCTACGTCATCATATTCCTGGCCTCGCTATTAGGCAATTCCGTTATCATTCACATCACTCGAACAGATAACTCCTTGAAGACCAGAACAAAGTGTTTGATAATGGCCCAAGCATATGCAGATCTTTTGATAACATTCATAGCGCTTCCGTTTTTTCTTTATCACAGAATAATGAAAATTTTATGGTTTGGAGGAGTTTTTGGTTTCATTACTTGCAAGATGACTCTGACTGCTGTGTTTTCCGTACCACAATTTTCAGTATTGATGCTTGTCATGATTGCAGTTGACCGTTTTTATGCAGTACTTCTACCTTTGCGACAGTCACCTATATCAAAACATTTGAAAAAAATGATTGCGATTCTCTTGTCGTGGTCTTCTGCTTGGTCCCTTTCCTTTATCAATGCCAAGAACTTTATAAAAGCCAATAAATCACATTCAACATTACTTCTCTTATTTCATGCGTTGCCGGTATACCTCTTTTGATGATAGTAAATCTTTACACGGCTGTATTCTGGAAACTGTGGTCTAGTAAAGTTCCAGGAGAAGGAGCACATCAGATCAAAGGTCAAATAATAGCAAAGATAGTCGCCCTGATGATGATTGTGGTAGTTGTATTATACGTCCTGGTCTGTTTTCCTTCGTTTCTAATCGGCGTCTTGCACTTTTTTAATTATGCGAAATTGCGAGGAAAGTTACTTTTATAATTTATGTGGCTACCAACTTCCTTTCGCGGCCTCAATCCTTACGTTTGTCTCATATTCAGTTAAAAAATTTCGCAAGAGCTTCAAAAAACTGTTCGGCAACTTCTTGCGAACGATAAATCGTATTTCTCATCGCTCTCGTTCAGTAGAACTGCAGCAAATCTAAATTTAGTGCTCCATTACAACTTTACGAGACTGGCGCTGCAAAACTTTTACCATCTAATATATTAGTTAAATAAAGACTGTAATAAAATAATGTGATAACAAAGCTTTCCTTCCTTGCTCCTTTAAATTTATCACTTCACAACAATTTTTTAATTAAAACAGGTTTAAACTTCGTGGTTGCATAGCCTTCCATATACAGGTTCTTTTTCAAATGAGTTTCCGGCGAAATGGCTTCTTCGGCAACATTAAAATCGTGTAGCGAATATTTCTGCAGTCGTGTTTGGATAACTTTCAAGTACCAAAGACACCGTGTAGAAAACCTCCTGCAAATATACAAAGGTTCTGTCACAGCTAGATAAAGAAAGTTAATTAAAAAAGTCTTCAATTAAGGAAAATAAATCAACAGAACAGAAGAACGAAACCTCTCTTAATAGATTCAATATTGATGGACGAAAATAGGAGAGATTCATCATCAAGGAATCTACGAATAGCTGGATAGGGTACTTCGAAAAATAATGATTAATGCCGTTATTGAACCCCAAAACGAAAGCAAGTACAAGGTCGAGACTCATTCTCATAGTGTTGATTAAGATGGGACGCATTGCTCAAAGTACAAACAAAGATTTTTAATTTAAATGGAAATTCAGTAACATCTACAACTCATCTGATGATCTCACTATTGTAAAGATAATGTATTGATCGAAAAAAGGTTTCCTGCGGCCCTTTTGGTGCATTCAGGTACATGAGAGGTATTAATTACAAATAAATACCAAAAATACATAAAAAATACCTCCGGCTGTATTTCCGGCTGGGTAACACCTTTAAAGTATTGTTCCCAAGATCTGATCAAAGCAGGCACTAATGAAGTAGCTGAAACGGATTCCGAAGTCCTTACAATCCAGATATCGAAGAAAAGAAAAATAAGAACAAGAAAACAACACAAAAAAGAAATACAACAAGAGTTTCTAAAGTGAAATCAGAGAGAGGAGCCACATTGATTAATCGATCAAACTTCTTGTTGAACTCTATCTTAAAGAGCACCGAAGAAATAGTAAAGATGGATTTTGACTTAATTATCCTAACATTTTTTGGATACGGCACAATATTTCTGTTGTCGCTAGTCGGAAATTCTCTCCTTATACACATTATACGAACAGACACTTCCATGAAGACTGCAATTAATTACTTGATTTTAAACCAAGCTTGCGCTGATCTTCTCATTCCATTCATGCAGTTGATGGAAAATCTTCATTACAGTTCTTATCATGGATTATGGTTTGGAGGAAATATGGGTCACATTACTTGCAAGTTATATGTTGCAAGCTTTTTTGTCCTTCCATCTTTTTCTATTTTTCTACTTGTAGCAATTGCTGTCGATCGCTTCTACGCAGTATTTCGACCTTTGGATAAGACGCCGATTTCTCGAAACATAAAAATAGTAATTCTGATATTGTGGACATGCTCACTCATTAGTCCCACAGCCGTTTTTACTAACCAGCACCTAGAGACTAAGAAGAACTCTTACTTCTGCCTTCCGAGCAAGTTTATACAAATTTATGAAGGGGAAAAATTTCATGTCATATCATTAACCCTTACCGTCGTCATCCCCCTGACGCTTTTGGCAATTCTATACATTGGAATATGCATCAAACTATGGTCACGTCAGGCACCCGGAGAAGGAGCCAGTCAAAACCAACGCCAGCTCCAAATTATAGCGACAGCAAGAAAGGTTACCCTGATGATGATCGCGATCGTTGTTTTATTCCTCATTTGCTGGGTTCCCCTCTATATTTCGATGGCACTGTTATATCTCGGCTTTGTGCAAAAGAAGGAAATTTTATTTTCAGTTTGGTTATCGGTCTCCTACAGCGGCATTAATCCTTATGTTTATTTCGCCTTTAGTGCAAACTTTAGAAACGGATTGAAACATTTTTGGGGAAATATTCGTATTTTTCCCTTAAGATCCGAGAGTATGGAACTTCAGCAATTATAGAATTACGCTTCGATCTAACTAATGGAAAAAAAGAAAAGTTCACGTGCTTAAAATCAACATATCGAGAAAAACGAGAAAAAAAGGTAAGCAAAAACTTCCATAAGAGTTCTGAAAGTCAAATCAGAGAAAGGAATCGCATTGATTAATCTCTCAAACTCCACTTCCACTCTATCTTAAACAACACTGACAAATTAAAGCGGCAGAGACGGAATCTTATCTAATGATTCTCAACACAATATTTCCAGAGTCACTATTTGGAAATTATTTCCAACTTGAAATTATTTTAATTATACACATAATAAGAAAAGAGACGTCCATGAAAACTGTTATAAATTACTAGATCTCAACTCAAGCTGGCGCTGATCTTCTAATTACATTCGTGTTCATAATGAATGGTCGTTCGTGTCAATTCTTACCACGGATTGTGTTTGGTGGATACATAGGAAGCATTACTTGAAAGCTACATGAATTTCACGGAAGCCTTTATGTCCTCCAATTTTTTCCTACCGGTGGCAATCGCAATCGATGGCTTTTACGTAGAACTTGACCTTTGGATGAGATGCCGATTTCTCGCAACATTAAAAAAGCAGTTCTGACATTGTGGACATGCTCACTTATTTTCTTTTGGTACTCGTTTTTGCAAACAGGCACCTCGAGACTCAGAATAGATCTTACTTCTGTCATATGTATAGGCCCTTGGAGTTTTATAAAGGGACAAAAGTTAATGTTATATCGTTGAAACTTGCCGTTGTCATTCCTCTGACACTTTTGGCAATTCTATGCTCAATATTTAACTATGGTCATGTTGGGCACCTTGAAAAGAAGCCAGTCAAAACCAACACCCGTTCAAAGCTATAGCAACAGCAAGGAAGGTTACCCGGATAATGATCGCAGTAGTTGTTTCATCTCTCATTTGCTGGGTTCCTTTTAATATATTGGCCACACTCTTGTATCTCGGCCTTGTAAGATACAAAGCGGTTTTTATTTCCAGTTTTGGTCATATCTCTTGTATCTTGGCCCTGTGAGATACAAAGCGATTTATTTCCAGTTTAGTTACATCTCTTAAAGCGGCTTTAATTTTTGCGTTCATTTCGCCTTCTGTGCAGTGGATTGAAAAATTTGTTCTAAAATAATCGTATTTTCCGTTTTGATCCGAAAGCATGGAGCTTTAGAAAATTTAGCGTTCGGAAATTATTTCTTTCTTACAGGTAGATATTACGAAAGGAAAATCATTTGGACGAAGTGTGGAACATTGAATAACAGCGTGATACTTTTTCTAATTAAGTTTTATTCAAAATAAAATCTTGGCAAGGTACTGTTTCAAAAAGGAACGCCTAGAGAATCATTTGGCAAAAAAGCGGCGTTTAAACACTTTTATTATTTTCATGTCAATATTCCCCTCTTCTCGATGAAGCTTTCTGACAACAGAAAAAGGCATCAAAAATGTTTTCGTTTGTTTGGTTTTGGTAATTCATTTGGTTTAAACTGTGTGTATTATGGAAAGAAAATTTCCAGAAGATTAACATGGACAAGTATTGACTCATTATGAAAGGGTAAAAAATTGAAAAAAAGAAATGAAAAAGCTCTGAAAAAAAGCATTTTTTACTGAGGATGCGAGGTCAATTTGGTACTGCCCCTCACTTAAACAAATTTTTAACAAGATTAAAAAGGTTTAAAGAAAATGTAAAATACCTCTAAAATTTCTGCCTAACTTTTAATCAGGACGGCTTCGAACCAATACAAACTGCTTAGAACCTTATTAAGTGGCTTCGGCTGTTAAATTTATAACCTATAATTATTGCCAGTATACATTACTTTTTTCCTCGATTAGACACTATTATTGACAGCAGATGATGAATAAAAAAACACAACATAACTGTGTCTCCTTTGGATGTAGATATGTACTTGAGAAGAACGAAGTACAAAAAAGTGTCAGAATATATACCAAAATACAACCTGCTGAATTTCTCCCAAGGCAATTCTAAAAAATTATCATTTTTCAACGATAAGAACTTTGCAAGAGTAGATTATTGGCTTCAAAATTCCTTAGACCGGACCATCCAGGGATTGGGAAGAAACAGAAAAGAGAAAAAAAAAGGGAAATTTCTACCGAACAGTTTCATTAAGTCCAATCAGGAAAAGGAGCCATAAGGATTAATAGATCAAGCTTCAACTTCAAGGTCCACTCTGTCTTGAACAACACCGACAGAACGGCAGAGAGGGACTTTCGTCTAATTGTGATATCATACTTTGGATATCGTACTTTGGTGTCGCTAATTTTCCGTTTAAATCAAAGGGGATGAAGCTTCAGCAAATATATCATCAATATAAATAGTTTATCCCCCAAGCCTAGGTGTCACTAATGTAAAATCCCATTTTGTTGAAGTGGGACGAAAAAATAAAACGTGATACCTTTTTCAACGTTTTGGCGAGGTACCTTGTAAAATAAAAAGCGTAAAAAAAGCGTGTAAAAGCGTATAAAAGCGTATAATCCCTAATGAAGCGCTTCAGCTGCATGTCGAAATTATCTTCTTTAGCACATTATATACTTCATCTTTATTTACTTTATCTTCTCGGATATAGTTTTCTTTGGGTTTGTTCTGTATCGTCTATTTGTTCTATCTTTACGGCAAAACACGGTTTTCAGGATTCCACTTGGAAGAGTATCGACAACAATAACGAAAGGGCAAAAGTGGAAGAAGTCACAAAAACGAAAAAGCTAATAACTCTAGATCATGATTAAGCAAGGATGTGATGCTACTGCCTCAAGGAGAATCAAGTTAACAATAGAGATTAACTTCAAGGAAGGAATTGTAAATATCTGCAATATTCGTGCGAGATTTCCAATCATGATGGGATTGGCAATTGCTTACAGCTTAGAAACGCGAATGGCTACGACTGACATATTTTACACATAGTATTATCACTTGTCGATGTACATCACTTTTTTCCTTTTCACATCCTACAAAAATACAACATAATTCAATAGAAAGGCATAGCATCAGTCTTAAACGTCCTTTGTCCTCTCCACTTCTTTATTGTAGGTGCGATTCTTCACTGTATAATCTCGCCTTAAGTATAATTATATCATGAACACCACGGTTTTTTTAGAGTGCAACGAAATGAAGAAATGGAAGAAAATGATAAAAAGTTGTCTACTGATGTCGACACAAAAAAATTGAAGAGTGAGAGTTTCCATGTACGGGGGACTAAGCAGCTAAAGCAGAGAGGAAAAAAAAGTAATTTCACAGTTCTCTTGCATAAAATCTTGAAATATAAGCAATTTCATTTCTGACTCACTTTATGACTTTATTACTTCCGTCAGATTCTTTTAAAGACAATATATGAATAAAATCAACTTCCATCTTTCATGTAATGAAACTAAATCAATTAACTGTCTTAAAACAATGATCTTGCTTTTAAAACCACACTTGCTACATTCTCCGCTATCTTTTTGAGTCAAACTTGTTCAGTAGAAAGATGTTTTGTGTTCAACGTTTGTATGCATTGTGGAAACTGATCATATATTACTGATTTCCCAAATCCTTGAAATTCAATTTTGGCAGAGAGAAAAGCGGCAGACTTGATGAGCCGGACACAATTTCAAGTTGAGGAAAGCTTAAATGAAGCTCGAAAATAAGACTAAGGACAATTTTTTCAGCCTCTTTCGAAAAATTTTAAGATTACATATGTCTACGAGTTCATAATTTTTCAATCAACGTCGCTACTGTCTTCCAAAGCTAAAACTGATCCATTTCAACTGTAATTAATAGTCTAAAGAAATTCACTACAATAAAAAAAGCATGCCATTTTAATGATGATTTCCATTATTTCATTTGGGCAAATATTTTCTCAATGGGAAATAATATTGTTCAAAAGAACAGGCCTTCTTTGGGAAGTTGCAAAAAAACTTGCTCTGAGTATACTGTAGTACACTATGTATAATAATAATTCTATACCCAAATCTTTAGAAAATGGAATCGTCGAATTGGTCAAACAACGGTGAGATTAACAGAGAATTAATAATCAACATGAGCGTATTTCATCACAAGGAAGGTAATAAATCCACGTCAATCACGCACAAGTTAGAAAATAGGATTTCACCTACAACGTCTGATGGTAAACTTTCGGTTAAGTAAATTATGCGAAACGCACAACTTTCTTTGTCGGTACGATAACATCTCCATCTTCGCACCTCGATCAGTCGAATTTACTTTCTTGGAACTCAAGCATTGTTTTAAGAATAGCGGAAAACAAATCAAAATCATTGGAAAGAAAACAATGCTGGACGATTTTGCTTAAAAGTAATTAAACCTTAAAAATTGTTTCCCAAGAATCCAAATTTATTACTAGACTGAAAATTGCTAAGTCCTTCAAATCTACATATCGAGGAAAAAGAATAGAACTTGGATCGAAGAAAAAAAAAGGGAATAACTCAGAGAAGAATTCTAAAAATCAATTCAAAGAAAGGAGCCATGACGATTAATCGATCAAACTCCAACTTCAACGTTTACCTTACCTTCAACAGCACCAACCAATCGGTACAGATAGACTTTCCTGCAATTGTCCCAATGTACATTGCATACGGCACAATATTTCTGGTGTCGCTATTTGGAAATTCTCTCATAATACATATCATACGAGCAGATAATGCAAATCCATGAAGACCGCTATAAATTACTTGATCTTAAGCCAAGCTTGCACTGATATTCTAGTCACTTTCATATATTTGATGTGTGAAATACATATGATGCGTGTCTTACCATGGATGGTGGTTTTGGAGGAAACATGGGAAACTTCACTTGCAAGCTATGTCATGCAAGCTTTTATTTCCTCCTATCTTTTTCTGTTTTTCTACCCGTAGCAATTGCTGTTGATCGCTCATATGCAGTAACTCGACCTTTTGATAGGACACCAATTTCTCGACACATAAAAAATGTAATTCTAACATTATGGATATTCTCACTTATCCTTTCGGCGCTGGTTTTTGCAAACGGGCGCCTAAAGACCAAAATGAAATCCTACTTGTGTCATACACATAGCCCCCTGGAATATTCTAATGGGAAAGAGTTGAATGTTATATCATTAACCCTTGCCGTTGTCATCCCTCTGACGCTTTTGGCATTTTCATACACAAGAATATGTATCAAACTATGGTCACGTCAGGCACCTGGAGAAGGAGCCAGTCAAAACCAACGCCAACTTCAAGTTATAGTGACAGCAAAAAAGGTTACCCGGATGATGATCGCAATCGTTGTTTTATTCTTCATTTGTTGGGTTTCTTTCTATGTAATAATAACACCGTTATATCTTGGATTTGTGCAAAACAAGGCAGTTGGATTTTCAGTTTGGTTATCGGTCTCCTTCAGTGGCATCAATCCTTACGTTTATTTCGCCTTGAGTGCAAACTTTAGAAATGGGTTGAAACATTTGTTTGGAAATATTCATATTTTTCCGTTTAGATCCGGGAGGATAGAGCTTCAGCAAATTTAGTATTTGTAAGTGATTTATTCCAACAAAAAGGTTATTTTGAAAGGAAATCGTTTTGGACGAAGTGGAAAAAATTGGATAACGGCGTGATACTATTTCGAATTAAGTTTTAATCAATATAACATCATGGCGAGGTAACGTTTCGAAAATTAATATCCATTAGAATCTTTTGGCTAGCAATGTGGCGTTTCAGCTACAAAGGGCATGTTTCCTCAGTATTTTATTATTTTTTTGTCAGCATTCTCTTCTCAGATAAAGTTTCCGTTAGCCGACCAAGGTGATAAACGTTCATCAAAATTTTTCGGTTTTTAGGTATTGTTTATTCATTTGGTCCTCATTGCATAGTATTGTCGAAGGAAGGTTTTCAGGATGTCAACACAGAAGAGTTTTGACTGATTACGATAGGGTAACAGAAGGAAGAAATGAAAAAGCATTATCATTGTGGGTGCAAAGTCAGTTTGTCCCGGCCCCCTATTGAAATACGTTCTTAATAGGATTAATATTTTCAAAGAAAATGTAAAAGCTTTAAGATTCCTTCTAAATTTTTAATCAGGACGGCTTCGAACAAATTCGAATCGCCCAGAACCTTAAATGGCCTAGGCTGTCAAATTTAGAACCTTTAATTATTGCTGTATTACTCTTCTTCCCTCAATAATTCAATGTTATTGTCAAGATGATCTATTGACAAACCCAACTTACCCTTATCTTTTCTGGATGTATTCATGCACACGAGCGGAAGATAAAACAAATAAATGTCTCGATATAATTCAAAATACCAAATGCTGCATGTTCTGCCGAGTAAACAGGCAAATTATTATCATAAAAGTTTTTACAGTTAAACCAGAGAAAGTCATGATGATCAATTGATCAAACTCCAACTTCAACCTCCACCCTATGTTAAACAGCACCAACGAAACGAATGAGGTAGACTTTGATGTAAATAATCTAACATACTTTGCATACGGCAGAATATTTCTGGTGTCGCCGTTTTGAAATTCTTTTATTTTATACATCATACGAACAGAATACTAAAACTCATTTAACTTAAGCCAAACTTACACCGATCTTTTAATCACATTTATGTTTTATGTGGATACTTTTCGTGTCAATTCCTACGATGGACTGTGGTTCGGAGGAAACATGGGAAGTATTATTTGCAAGCTGTATAGTAACATGCAAGTTCTTATTTCCACGCAACTTTTACTCTTTTGCTACTAGTAGCAATAACTGTTGATCGGTCAATGCATTACCTCGACCTTTGCATTGGACGCCGATTGCTCTACACATAAAAAGAGTAAATAATGGTTATGTTGAAGTAATGTTCTTTCATTCTTTTGACAAATGTTTGTGGTCACATGAACGGGGACACAAAGAAGAAATCTTACTTCTGTCATTTGCAGCAACTTCTGGAGTTTTGTGAATGAACAACATTTAACAAGACATCCCTAGCTGCTCGCCTTTTCTTCTCTTTAACTCTTTTAGCAATTCTGTGCATAAGAATATGTGCTTGGCCCAATCAGGCATACGGAGAGGGAGCCACTCACCACCGAGCACCCCTGACATCCTTGTAACTTAAAATTTTTTTTATACTTTACTAGGCGGAGATACAACCAATGACGTTTCTTTCATATAACCATTTCACTCCACGAATGTGAAACCATTTTCAAGAAGAAAAAGGGGATGAGAAGTGAACAAATTTATCAACTTACACAAAATATTTGATCTAACACTAAAAAACCTCAAGTCAAATGTCATAAGAAATTCGTTGCAAATGAAAGGATAATCATGCAATCTTCAGACTGGCCGTGGGAAGAAAAGGGTAATGATGAACATGAATTTGGAACCGTGGGAATTCTTTTCCCATGAATAGAATGTCATTGAATGCTTTTGAGGGAAACGAAAGGTTGAGTTCTCTTAAAATCAACCCAAAATAAAATTTCAATAACATATATAATAATTATCCCAATCATAAATCGGAGTGGATTTGACTGACTTACGGTGAATTAACGTGAGTAGCGGGGAGTGAGTCGGGGTAACTAGAGGTGGTTTGCGGTGGATAGGGATAAATTATGATGGCTTGCACAATATTGTAGTCGGATAAATTAGCGGCGATTGTGATGTTGCTCTTTTTGAACTTCAGAGTACAGAATTTCATCGAGTTAAAGGAGAAATTTGTGGAGATCTCAGGCCATTCATTGCGAAGGTGAGTGATACGCTTCTCAAGCAATTGTTACTCGCTCACTCCTCCTCACACAAGACTTCCCGAGGCTAAAATGAAACATTTTTGGATATTTTTCGCTCTAATACTAAGGGTAGCCCTGGCAACATCAAGCTCTTGTAGCGGCTATATCTGCACTTGTGTTTGGATAACTTACAAGTAGCAAAGACATCGTGTAGAAAACCTCTTGCAAATTTACAAATTTTAAAACTGAAATAAACATCTCATTTTGGGAGGCTACTTTACTACAGCTGTCACCGCTAGATAGCGAAGTTAATTAAAATAAATTTCCAATTAAGGAGGATAAACAACAGAACAAAATAATGAACCCTTTCTTCTTAGATTTAGTATTATGTGTCCATCATTCAGGAAAGCGGATGGACTAATACAGGAAAGATTCATCATCAAGGAATCTACAAATGACTGGATAAGGTACTTCGAAAAATAAAAAATAAAATTCTGTTAATGATGCCCAAAACGAGAGCAAGTACAAGGTAAAGACATATTCTATTTCTTTTGATTAAGTTGAGGCTCATTGTTCAAAGTACAAATAAAAAAAATTGTCAGTTTCAAAGGAAATGCGCAAACATCAAGAACTCTTGGTAATTTGATGATCTCACTATTGATAAGATGATGTATTGACCAAAAAAACTTCTCCGCGGCTCTTTAGATGTATTCAGGTGTATTTCCTTCATTCATCGTATTTCATTCTATGAATGACATAAACAAATGAATACTTAACATACATAAAAAACACTACTGGTTTTATTTCTTGCTGGTTCACACCTTATTCATTATTTTTCCAAAGATTTGAACAAAGCGACTGAAACGAATTCTGAAGTCCTTAAATTCCAGATATCGAAGAGAAAAAAAAAACAAGAACAAGAAATCATCTAGGGAAATAATTACCGTAAGAGTTTCTAAAGTCAAATCAGAGAAAAGGGCCATGTTGACTAATCGATCAAACTTCTACTTCAACTCTATCTTAATGAGCACCGAAGAAAAGGTGGAGATGGATTTTCATGCTACTATTCTAACTTACTTTGGATACGGTACAATATTTCTGGCGTCGTTTGTCGGTAATTCTTTCCTTATACACATTATACGAACAGACACATCCATGAAGACTGCTATCAATTACTTGATTTTAAACCAAGCCTGCGTTGATCTTCTCATTCCATTCATGCATTTAATGGATAATTTTCGTTACAGTTCTTATCATGGATCGTGGTTTGGAGGAAATATGGGTCATATTACCTGCAAGTTATATCTTGCAAGCCTTTTTGTCCTCCCATCTCTTTCTATTTTTCTACTTTTAGCAATTGCTGTCGATCGTTTTTACGCAGTATTTCGACCTTTTGATAGGACGCCGATTTCTCGAAACATAAAAACAGTATTTCTGTTTATGTGGACATGCTCACTTGTTGGTCCGACAGCCGTTCTTGCTAATCGGCACCTAGAGACTAAAAATAACTCTTACTTCTGCCATTCGAGGATCTTTTTACGACTTGGTGAAGGGAATAAATTTTATGTCATGTCATTACTCCTTGGCGTCGTTATCCCTCTCACGCTTATGGCAACTCTATACACGAGAATATGCATCAAACTATGTTCACGTCAGGCACCCGGAGAAGGAGCCAGTCAAAACCAACGCCAGCTTCAAATTATAGCGACAGCAAGAAAGGTTACCCTGATGATGATCGCAATCGTTGTTTTATTCCTCATTTGCTGGGTTCCTTTCTATATTTCGATGGCACTGTTATATCTTGGCTTTGGGCAAAACAAGGCAGTTTTATTTTCAATTTGGTTAACAGTCTCCTACAGCGGCATTAATCCTTACGTTTATTTCGCCTTCAGTACAAAGTTTCGAAATGGATTGAAACACCTGTTTGGACTTTAGATCCGTGAGTATGGAGCTTCACCAAATTTAGCATATATATATAAATTCTTTCTTGCGCTTAGATGTAAGTAATGGAGGGATGGCAGCACACAACTTCTTTCAATTACTTTTTTCTTTACGATAAAATCTTGGCGGAAGTACCTTGTAAGAAAAAAAGGGGAGGAGGCAAGGTGTATAATTGCTGGCTAACAATGAAGTACTTCGACTGCATAGGGGATGTGTTTTGTTTTCTTATTTTCTTTTTTGGCACCTCACTCCAGCAATATCTTGGTCCAGCGGTCTATAGCTTGGCAAATCATCACAATATCATGATTGCTTAAGCGATTTAACTTAGAGATATCCTGTGAATCAAGTTATTAATAAGAATAAACCTAAAGAATAGAAATTTAAATACAATTAAAAATTTCTGCGAAATATTTAATCAGGATGGTTTTACGGTTGTTTACCACTTAGGGAATCTTAAAACGAGAAACTTAAATTGCTTAGAAACGCAGAAGGTTATCAATGACAATATCAAGTGTTACACTTCTTGCGACCGATCCGCAAGATCCGTACTTTTCACAGTTCACGTTTTCTAGCACTGCAGCAAATCTGAATTTCGACCAAACTTAAACAAGGTGGCTGACGCGAAAGACTTCAATTACATAACACTGGTTTTGCAAAACTTAAATCAAAACGTTTATCATCTGATCAAAACAGTCATCATCTAGTCTGGATCCTTGGTTGTAACACCTGAATAATATCAGGCTTGAGTTAAGTTCTTGCCTAGTCTTGCATAGACAGGTTCTTATTCAAAAAAGTTTACGGCGAAACGACTTATTTCACTGATTGCTGTGGGTGAGCCAAAACTATCTCAAAAACTGTATAAAAATTTTACAAACTTTCCAGAATATGAATACAGTGAACGAGGTCACAAACCATCACAAATCAGTGACAAACAACTGTAAGGTTTACCTTATCGTTGTAAGCAATATCTTACCGCGCAGTCATTACATCCTTGCAGCTCTTAGGTGAATTTGCCAAATACTACTGACGTTTCTCCCAATTAACACTTTCACACCCTACAATGACTTTTTCCCTACACTGAAATGAAAACATTTTCAAGAAAAAAAGTGACGGGAACTAAAAAAATCGCTTGATATAGCACCAAATCCTCGAATGAAAAATTATAAGCAGTGCTTAGGGATCAGAGTGGAGAATCAATCCTAAAAATGAAAGGATTATAGTTCACATAGATATGGAATTTTAGGGTACTCTTTTCCTTGTCATAATTTCTTAGTTTCCCATCGTGGGAAACGAAAGGACTAGGTGTCCTGAGGTTGTTTTGTATATCAAACTGAAATGAAATCCTTATCATAGTTAAAATAACCATAAATCACTATTTCAATAATAATAAAACGTAGCAATATTAAAGGGTAAATTTTGTTCTTTCGGTGACTGAATAACGCTTTTTAAGCAATTGTCACTTTGCACAGTGGAGTTTATTATATGCTACCCTCAATAGCGGGTCTCATTCTCTTTATTTTTCATAATACAGCTATTATCTCCTTAAAAATATATTTAGATATTTTGTATAGGCCCGTGTAGGTGCTATATCCGTAGATTTGTTTGGATAAACTTGACGTCGCAAAACCTTGTTTTTGAAATCTCTTGCAAATTTATAAAATTTAAAGCAGAACGAGTCTTCTTTGTAGGAGGTAAATTTGCTTCAGCCGTCAACATTGAATATCGAATGTCACTGGGAATAAAACCTTCAATAAAGAAGCGTAAATCAACAGAACAAAAGAAAAACAACTTCTTTGTTAGAGTGAATATTAAATTCAATAGTTTATCATTCAGTAAAGCTGAAGAACGAATAAAAGAAAGGATCATAATCGATGAATTAAAGCACAAACAAAGAAAATTGTTAATTCAAAGTGAAATGCAAAATGAATATACATCCCTCAGTTACTTGATGATCTCACTATTGTTAAACACAATTTTTCCACAGATTTTTTATTGAAGTGAAGCACAAAAGAGGAATGAAGTACAAACAAATATCAAACATACCTAAAAAAAAAATACCAAAAGATTTAATTTCCGGTCGAGTCACACTTCAAAGATTCGAACAAAGGAAGGACTGATTACTCGGTCCACGGCCTTAAAATCAACATATCGAGGAAAACGAGGAAAAAAGGAGGGGAAGAACTACCATAAAGGTTTCTGAAAGTCAAATCAGAGAAAGCAATGGTGATGATTGACCTCTCAAACTCCAACGTTCATCCTTAAACAGCACTGACAAAGCGGCAGAGATGGACCCCAATTTTGTTGTTCGCTTGCACTTTGGATTCAGCACAATATTTCCGGTGTCACTAATTTGAAATTCTTTTAATTGTATACATAATACGAACAGACACGTCCACGAAAACTGTTATAAATTACTAGATCTTAAGTCAAGCTAGCGCTGATCTTCTAATCATATTCGTGTTTATAATGATGCTATTCGTGTCAATTCTTACCACGGATGGCGTTTAGAGGACATATGAGAAACATTACTAGCAAGCTACATGGATTCATACAAGCCCTTAAGTCCTCAAATTTTTTCTATTTTTATACTGGTGCCAATTGCAATTGATGACTTTTACGCAGAAACTCGACCTTTGAATGAGATGCTGATATCTCGCAATATTAAAAAAGTAATTCTGACATTGTGGACATGCTCACTTATTTTTTCGCCACTCGTCTTTGCAAACAGGCACCTCGAGACTCAGAAGAGATCTTACTTCTTTCACACCCACAGGCCTTTAGAGTTTGATAAAGGGACAAAAGTTAATGTTAAATAGTTGAAACTTACCATTGCCATCCCTCTGACACTTTTGGCAATTCTATACACGATATTGTGCATTTAACCATGATCACGTCAGGCACCTGAAATAGAAGCCAGTCAAAGCCAACACCCACTAAAAGTTATAGAAACAGTAAGGAGGGTTACCCGCATAATGATCGCAGTAGTTATTTCATCCCTCACTTGCTAGGTTGCTATCTATATATTGATTGTACTCTTGTATCTTGGCCGTGTAAGATACAAAGCGGTTTATTTCCAGTCTGATTATATCTCTCAAAGCGGCTTTAATCTTTACGTTTATTTCGCTTGTAGTGAAAACCTTAAGAGATGGATCGAAAATTTTGTTTTGAAATAATTGTGTTTTCCGTTTTGATCCGAATGTATGGAGCTTTAGAAAATTTAGCGTTTGAAAATTATTTCTTACTAACGGATACATATTACGAAAGGAAAATCGTTTTGGACGATGTGAGAAAAATTTAATAAAAGTGTAATACTTTTCCTAATTAAGTTTTACTCAAAATGAAATCTTGGCAAGGTACTGTTTCGAAAAGGAACGCGTAGAGAATCATTTGGCAAAAAAAGCGGCGTTTAAGACGCGAAGGGCATGTTTTCTTTTGCACTTTTATTATTTTCATGTCATTATTCCCCTCTTCTAGGATGACGATTTCCGACAGCCGACCATGGTTCATCAGAAATGTTTTTGTTTGTTTGGTTTTGGTCATTTATTTGGTTTACACTGTGTATTTTATGGAAATAAGATTTTCAGAAGATCAACATGAACGAGTATTGACTCATTACGAAAGGGTAAAAAATTTTTAAAAAAATTAAAAAGCTAACTGCAAAGCATTATTTACTGAGGATGCAAGGTCAATTTGGTACTGCCACTTTCTGAAACAAGTTTTGAACAAGATTAAAATGTTTAAAGAAAATGTAAAATACCTCTAAAATTTCTCTCTAACTGTTAATCAGGACGGCTTCGAACCAATACAAATTGCTTAGAACCTTAAGAGGCTTCAGCTATCAAATTTATAATCTATAATTATTGCCAGTATATATTACTTTTTTCTCCGATTATACACAATTATTGTCAACAGATGATGAAAAATAAACACAACATAACCGCGTCTCCTTTGGATTTAGTAATGCATATGAGACGAACGAAATACAAAAAAGTGTCAGAATATATACCAAAATACAATCTGCTGAATTTCTTCGAAGGCAATTCTGAAAAAAACTATTATTTTTCGACGATAAGAACTTTGCAGGAATAGATTATTGGCTTCAAAATTCCTTAGACCGAAAAATTCAGGGATTGGGAAGAAACAGAAAATACAGCAGTATTAATCCTTACGTTTATTTCGCTTTTAGTACAAAGTTTAGAAATGGATTGAAACCTTTGTTTGGAAATATTCGTATTTTTCCGTTTAGATCAGAGGGGATGGAGCTTTAGCAAATATAGCATCAATATAGATAGTGTATTCTCCAAGCCCAGGTGTCACTATTGTAAAATCCCATTTTGTCAATGTGGAACGAAAAAAAAGCTTGATACCTTTTTCAACGTTTTGGCGTGGTACCTTGTAAAATAAAAAGCGTAAAAAAGCGTATAACCCTAACTAACAATGAAGCGCTTCGGCTACATGTCAAAATTATGTTCTTTAGCACATTGTATACTTCATCTTTGCATTCTTCATCTTTACATACTTCATCTTCTCGGATAAAGTTTTTTTGGGTTTGTTTTGTATTGCCTATGTGTTCTATCTTTATAGCAAAACGCGGTTTTCAGGAATTCCACTTGGACTACCATCGTCGACAATAACGAAGGGCAAAAGTGAAATAAGTCACAAAAACAAAAAAGCTGATAACTCTAAACCATGATTAACTGAGGATGTGAAATCAAACCCGTCAGAGTGTTGCTACTACTCCAAGGTGAATCAAGTTATCAATAAAGATTAACTTCAAGGAAAGAATTGTAAATATCTGGAAAATTCGTGCGAGATTTCCAATCATGATGGGATTGGCAATTGCTTACAGCTTAGAAACGCGAATGGCTATGACTGAAATATTTTACACATAGTGTTATTATCGATGTACATCACTTTTTTTCCTTATTACATCCTACAAAAATACAACATCATTCAATAGAAGGGCATAGCATCAGTCTTAAACGTCCTTTGTCCTCTCCACTTCTTTATTGTTGGTACTATTCTTCACTGTATAATCTCGCCTTAAGTATAATTATAGCATTGACACCACGGTTTTTTAGAGTGCAACGAAATGAAGAAATGGAAGAAAATGATAAAAAGTTGTCTTCTGATGTCGACACAAAAAAGTGAAGAGTGAGAGTTTCCACATACGAGGGACTTAGCAGCTAAAACATAGAGGAAAAAAGTCATTTCAAAGTTCTCTTGCTTAAAATGCTGAAATGTAAACAACTTCATTTCTGATTCACTTTATGACTTTTTTTTCCCACTTTCAGATTATTTAAAGACAATATAGGAATAAACACAACTTCCATCTTTCATGTACGGAAATTAAATCAATCAACTGTCTTTTCAAAAAACAACGATCTTGCTTTCGAAACCACACCTGCTACACTCTCTGCTATCTGTGAGTCAAACTTGTTCAGTAGAAAGATGTTTTGTGTTCAACAACGTTTGTATTCATTGAGGGAGCTTATCAAATTTTACTAATTTCCCAAATCCTTGAAATTCAATTTTGGCAGAGAGGAAAGCAGCAGACTTGATGAGCCGAACACAATTTCAAGATGAGAAAAGGTTAAATGAAGCTCGAAAAGAAGATTAAGGACAATATTTTCAGCCTCTTTCGAAAAATTTTAAGATTCCATGTATACGAATTCATAACTTTTCAATCAACTTTGCTCCTGCTTTTCATGCAAAACTGATCAATTTTAACTGTAAATAGTAAAAAGAAATTCACTACAGTAAAAAAATCATGCCATTTTAATGATAATTTACATCACATCATGTGGGCGAATATTTGTCATAATGGGAAATAACATTGTTGAAAAGAATAGACCTTCTTTAGGAAGCTGCAAAAATACTTACTCTAAGTATACTGTAGTACACTATACATGGTAAGTATACTATACTCAAATCTTTAGAACATGGAATCGTCGAAGTGATCAAACAGCGGTGGCATTAACAGAGAATATAATAATCACCAGGAATGGATTTCCTCACAAGGAAGGTAATAAATCCGCGTCAATCACGCACAAGCAAGAAACTAGGATTTCATCTACAACATCTTATGGTAAACTTTCGGTTATGTAAATTATGCGAGGCGCGCAACTTTCTTTGTCGAGCTTTCATCTTCGCAACTCGACCATACGAATTTGCTCTCTTGGAACTTAAGGATTGTTTTAAGAATAGCTGAAAAATATCAAAATCAGAGGAAACAAAACAATGCTGGAAGATTTTGCTTAAAAGTAATTAAGGGACGCTCACACAAAAAGTTTGAAATTCTTCATACACCGCTTGAGATAGGATACTCGAAAAAAAAAAGTGGAATATTGTGCAATATGTCAGCTAAGCTCTTTGTATTTCCGAAGTGAATAAGCGAAACACTGTTAAACGATTGCTGTTGACTTTCTTTACACGCATTCATTGAAATTGAAAAATTTGTCTATTTTACTTGCAGGGACGGAGAAACAAAACGCCATTTAGGGAAAGCGATATTTGCTGCCTACGTTCTGGCGTTGTTGATGGGAAACTTCGTTCTCACTTATATCATTCGAACAGATAACTCTTTGAAGACCACAACAAATTGTTTGATTACGAACCAGGCATATGCAGATGTAATGCTAAAGTTTTAGAGCTACCGTATTCTCTTCATCATAGAATAATGGACAGTTAATGGTTTGGAGGAGTTTTTTATTTCATAACTTGCAAGATGAGTTTAGCTGTTCAATTTTCTATAACGCAATTTTCAATATGGATGCTTTTCTCCATTGCAGTTGAACGTTTCCATTCAGTTATTCTACCTCTGCGACAGTCACCTATATCTACACGTTTAAAAGAAAATTTTGTGATTCTCTGCATATGGTCTAATGGTTCTTCTTTTTTCTTCATTAAAGCTGAAAACTTTGAAAAAAGTCGAACAATCTTATTATTGTGATTTATCACTCCTGTTAAGTAATTAGACTGTATTCAACATTGCCTCCCTTATTTTACGTGTTACATTGCCTTTTTTGATAATGGTAAGTCTTTACGCGGCTGTGTGCTCGAAACTGTGGTCTAATAAAGTTCCTGGAGATGAACCCAATCAGATCGAAGCTCACGGAATAGAAAAAAGAGTCACTGAGATGATGATTGTGACGTTAGCATGATACTTCCTGTGCTGGTTCCTTAGGTTTTTCCTTGTCATTTTGAGTTTCCTTAAATATGTTGAGATACGGGGAGAGTTACTTTTACTATATATGTGACTATCAACTGCCTATTGCGGCCTCCATTCTTACGTTTATCTCATATTCAGTTAAAACTTTCGTTAGAGCTATGAAAAAAACTGTTTGAAAACTTCTTGCCACCGATTCGCAAAATAAATCTTACTTTCATTATTCTCGTTCAGTAGAACTGCAGCAAATCAAAAACAAGAACAAACCGTAAAATAAGGTGGCTGATGGGCACAATTTCAATTATACGACACCAGCGCTGAAAATTGTTTTCATACAATCTCTTACTTATATCAGGTAACAAAATGTTAAGATAGCTTGGAATCCTTAGTTTTCCGTAATTTCATTGTAATTGGGGAATAAGATCTGACTTGAAATTCATGCTTGCATACCCTTATCTTTACAGTTTCTTGTTAAAATAATTATTTTTCCTGAAGTATTATTACCTTTCACACTGTTTACGTGTCTCGGAGACAATTTTGCTTTAGCTGTCCGCGTTGAACAGCTGAAGTCAATTGAAAGAAACTTTCCTTTAAGGAGTATAAATGAAAAAAAAACAGAACAAAAGAGCTAAAGCTTCATTATTGTGGTCAACATTAATTTCAAGGGTTTATAATTAAGTAAAGCTGCACGACAAGTATATAAAGAAAGATTCATCATTAATGATAAAAGGAATGATTGGATGAGATGCCTCAAAATTAAAAAAATAAAAAAGCTACTGACTCCTAAAACAAGAACAAATACGTGCTCATAACATATTTTCATTCTATTCTTTAAGATAGGGCTATTTGTTTAAAGTACAAACAAAGAAAATTGTCAATTCAAAATAAAATGCAAAAACGTCTACATCTCTCAATCACTTGGTGATCTTATTGTAGTTATGATGATGTATTATTAAACAGAAATTCCCGCGGCTTCTTTAGTGCATTGAAGCACACGTCAGCAACGAGGTACAAACAAATAACAAAAATACAGCAAAATTACTTTGCACCGCCGGGCTGTCTTTCCGGCCGAGTCGCACCTTAAAAATTGTTTCTCAAAGATCCAAATTAACTACTGTTTTGAAAATTGCTAAGTCCTTCAAATCTGCATATCGAGGAAAAAGAGTAGAACTTGGATTCAAGAGAAAAAAAGAGAATAACTTAGAGAAGAGTTTCTACAAGTCAAATCAGAGAGCCATGATGATTAAACCATCAAACTCCAACTTCAACGTTCACCCTACCTTCAACAGCGCAAAGCAATCGGCACAGATGGAATTTCATGCAATTGCTCCAATGTACATTTCATAATACATATAATAAGAACAGATAAATCCATGAAGACTGCTATAAATTACTTGATCTTAAACCAAGCTAGCGTTGATATTCTAATCACTTTCATATATTTGATGGATACTGTTCGTGTCAATTCTTACCAGGGATGGTGGTTTGGAGGAAACATGGGAAACTTTACTTGCAAGCTATGTCATGCAAGCTTTTATTTCCTCCCATCTTTTTCTCTTTTTCCTACTCGTAGCAATTGCTGTCGATCGCTTTTATGCAGTAACTCGACCTTTCGATAGGACACCAATATCTTGACACTTAAAAAAAGTAATTTTGACATTATGGATTTTCTCACTCATTCTTTCGGCACTGGTTTTTGCAAACGGGCACCTAGAGACCAAAAAGGAATCTTACTTGTGTCATACACATAGCCCCCTGAAATATACTAATGGGAAAGAGTTGAATGTTATATCATTAACCCTTGCCGTTGTCATCCCTATGACGCTTTTGGCAGTTCTATACACAAGAATATGCATCAAACTATGGTCACGTCAAGCACCCGGAGAAGGAGCCAGTCAAAACCAACGCCGACTTCAAGTTATAGTGACAGCAAAAAAGGTTACCCGGATGATGATCGCAATCGTTGTTTCATTCGTCATTTGTTGGGTTCCTTTCTATGTAATAATGGCACTGTTACATCTTGGATTTGTGCAAAACAAGGCAGTTCGATTTTCAGTTTGGTTATCGGTCTCCTTCAGTGGCATCAATCCTTACGTTTATTTCGCCTTTAGTGCAAACTTTAAAAATGGGTTGAAGCATTTGTTTGGAAACATTCATATTTTTCCACCTAGATCCGAGAGGATAGAGCTTCAGCAAATTTAGTATTTGTAAGTGATTTATTCCAACAAGTAGATTATTTCGAAAGGAAATCGTTTTGGACCAAGTGAAAATAAATTGGATAACAGCGTGTTACTATTTCTAATTAAGTTTTAATCAATATGACATCTTAGCGAGGTGCCATTTCGAAAATGAATAACTAGGGTCGTTTGGCTAGCAATGTGGCGTTTCAGTTGCATAGGGTATGTTCCATCAGCATTTTATTATTTTCATGCCAGCATTCTCTTCTCTGATTTCCGTCAGCCGACCAAGGCGAGAAACATTCATCAAATTTTTTTGGTTAGTTTTTTAGGTTTGGTTTATTCATTTGGTCTACACTGCATAATATTGTCCAAAGAATGTTTTCAGAATGTCAACACAAAAGAGTATCGATTGATTACGATAGGGTAAAAGAAGGAAGAAATCACAAAAATGAAAATATTACTGTGGATGCAAAGTCAATTTGTCACGGTGCCTTATTGAAATACGTTCTTAATAGGATTAATATTTTTAAAGAAAATGTAAATACCTTGAGATTTCTTCCAAATTTTCAATCAGGACGGCTTCGAACCAACATGAATCAACTAGAACCTTAACTGTCATCGGGCGTCAAATTTAGAACCTTTAATTATTGCTATATTACTATTTTCCCCTCAATAATTGATTATTATCGTCAAGATACATTTCAAGATGATGTATTTATAACCCAACTTACCGACATCTTATGTGGATGTATTCATGCACATGAGAGGAACATAGAACAAATTAATGTCTGAATATAAATCAAATACTATATGCTGCATGTTCTGCCGAGTAAACAGGGAAATTACCATCATAAAAGTCAAATCAGAGAAAGCCATGATGATCAATCGATCAAACTCCAACTCCAAACTCCACTCTATGTTGAACAGCACCAACGAAACGAATGAGATGGACTGCGATGTAAATAATCTAATATACTTTACATACGGCACAATATTTCTAGTGTCGCCGTTTGGAAACTATTTTATTATAATACATCATATGAACAGAAGACCGACCTTAAATCAATTAACTTAACTCTACGCCGAATGAAGAGATCACCTGCAAGAAAACTGCTTTAATTTCTGACACGAAAAAAAGAACAATTGTTTGCAAAAAAAAAATATGTCTTGCTATTAAAACAGTTGAATTCAGTCTTAGCAACATTCGTAAATTAAACAAAGAAAGCCGTCGTGGAAGTTGTAGCGCTCAGATTGGTCGAGGGTTGCGTCGTATCTCGCTATAATCATCCCGCACAAGGTGATTATAGCCGAAGCGCTAAGATTCGAAATAGCTGCCTCATGTTTTTTCCGAATGTTTCCGGGAAGTGATAAGCTCGATAGCAGAAACAGATGCTACTAAGTTAGGCGTAACTCTTCAAAACTACGATGTAAAGTATTTGCTGTTAAATTCTGGTGGAAGCTGGCTTACTATCTCGACACGAGTAATAAAAAAAAATGTAACAAATTTTCTTTATTCACGGAATGGTTTGAAAATTATACAAAAATGATTATTCACCTCAGGCTCAATGAATATTGTTGAATAATCCTCTCCACTTCGTCTTGGGGATTTTCCAACAATATTCACCTTGCCTCAAGCAAACAGTTTTTAAATATGTAGGAAAATGAAATAATACTTTAAAAAAAGTTCCACATGATTCACGTAATACGATTGGTCAAGTGTTTTACCCCTCTAGCTTGTCTAGAAAAAATTATGTTTAATTCAATAAGCACTTAAGAAAGCCTCGAATGTTAGACCAATTGGATCGCATTTAGTAAAATTTAGAAAAATTGTTTATGCGCAATGAAGGGAAATGATCGTGCAAAGACCCAGTGGTTTTTACTTTATATATTAAAATCTTGGTCAGAAATTATAGACAGACAAAAACGCTGGGAGCTACGTTTACTATACTTGACTGAGAATATATGAAAGACATATATATATATACAAATATACATACCGCGGATGAAGACGTGAATATGACAGCGATCCTCGCATTAATTAACATTACTTGAGCAGTAGTGAAAATAAGGCCTGAAAAAAAAAAACTTCAGGCCTGCACAGTTCACTAAACTCTTTGCAAGAGGTGTGTGGAGAACAGCCTGGACGGCGCGTGAAGAGATGTCTCTTTATGAAGACTCAAAAGTTTTGTCGCTTTCTTTAAATTCTTACCAACAAAAATAAAGTAAAAAAAAAAACCCAATAAATTATATAAATTTCGTATCCGTCAATACCCCTCTGTATTTCTTACATGCAAGTGAAGCCATTCGCTGTAAAAAGCTCACCAGCTCAAAAAATGAGTAGATAAAGAAAGGAAGATTGAATATAACGTGTATTGCATATTTAGCATAACTGCAGTATATGCTCACCGAAATAATTGGTGCTAAGCATATTTGAATCGTGCATTCGTGACAGAGCCAGAGAATTGATAATGTTGAATATTTGATATTCTATGAATGTAACAAAATGCCAGTTAAATCCATGAAAGCTTATAATTACTTTAGTAAAAGTACATATTCTTGGTTGTCAGTCTATAACAATACAAGTTGTTAGTAGGAAGGATGAACACAGTTAATTAATTAGCGAAATGAAAAAAGAAACCAAATGTATATGAACACTAGAATAAAGTTTAATATTTCAAAGTCTTTCTGAATTACCAAGTAACTCTAAGTTATCCTCCGTTTGGCAAGATAATTTTAACTCGAATAGCTTAAAATTCCCACCTTATATCCGCGTTCAGGGAGTACTCAAGAAAAACAGCTTGCAAAAAACTAATAAATGACAGAGGATCGTCCTTTTTCCTCAAGAACGAATTCAGTCGCCGTAAGTTCAACTGCTAACAAGTGCAATAAACTTCTGAATTGAATTTCAACTGAGTTGAAAACGTAAATTGGCCACCGTAAAGAGTAAAAAAGCTGACGTTTCAAGCGTTAGCCCTTCGTCAGAGCGATTGGAGGAATTGTGGGTTGTGTGTGGGTTTACATCCAGTCCATTCAATCCCTGCAATCTATCCAATCCATCCAATCTGATTGGTCATTGGTTTGAAATGAACTTCTCGATCATAATACATGAGCGAGACTTGACTACCACATTATACCGCTGACTAAGAAGGCGCAAATCAAAATATGGTAGTCACAGTCGTCTTAAGGTCGATCACCGGACAATCTCTATTGGGAAAGTAAACTGCTAGCTTTGCCAGCCAAAATCGAACGAATCATTATTTACTGTTCTAGTATAGTACGTTTGCAACTCCTGTAATTTTAACGATACTGAAATATTTCAATAATATTACTTCGAATTGTTTGTTGCTTTTTTCTTCCCAATTTCCACGTCTGTGACCGAAAGGAAATCACAGATGCTAAAATAAATTGAGTTGAACTGTGGGACTCACTGCATGGGTTGTTGTTTCCCATGAAGTCAAATATACGACAGCTTTAATGTTTCTCTTGACACGACTACGAAATCAACCCATCAACGTGTAACAATAGGGAACTTAAGCACCCGACGTTTTCTACGGGGCGACGGCAACCGGAAGTCAAATTTACTTCCGATCTACGTTTCCCGCCGACAGAGTCCACCGTCGCGACTCTGCGCCGACTTTGTTCTGCTTATTTTGACGTCGCCTGTAAAACGTGAGTTTCACTTATGATTTTCGTGCTTTTATATCATTTTGCCTGCGATGTTTTGCACTTAGTGACACGTTAAATATTATTCTGTCGTTTTGGCGCTTGTACGAGCGATTGTCAACTATTACAGGTCTTTTTTTTAACTTTTTAGGCTCTAGCGTGAAGATGGCTACCAAAAAACAACCTGGAATGGAATGGACAGGTGACCATGACATTCTTCTGTTGCGTGAAATGATTGCCAGCGAATTGTTTCAGTTCAAGAAAGGCAGTCCAGACCGTGGCAAAATCTGGGAGTCAATCCAGGAAAGATTGAACAAGCTCGATAATCCAAAATTTATGATAAAGGAGAAGAGGGGAGTCAGAGACCGATGGAATCTGCTTCAGGCCAAGTTTAAACGTACGCAACGAGAAGAGCTACAAGCCAGTGGCATTGATCGTGAGTTATCTGAGAAAGATGCCCTAATAGAAGAGTTATGTGAGAAAGAAGATAGCTTTTCCGCCAAAGACAAGAAAAAGTCAGATGATAAAGAGGCAGCTGAAGAAATCAGAAAGAAAGCCATGGAACGCATGGCCTCGAAAAAAAAATCAAACGAATCTGCTGGAGGCAGCGCCAAAAAGAGCCGAAGAAGAGGAGGTGATGCGGTTGAATTCTTGAAAGAAAAAGCTCAAAGTGAGTATTCCATTCGCCAACAGGAGCTAGAGCTGCAAAGAAAGGAGCAGGAAGTAAGGGCCAGACAACAAGAGCTACAGATTGAGCTGCTACGGAAGCAAACAGAGCAGCAGGTGCAGATTTCACAGGCATTGATGACCATGATGCAAAATCTGGTTAAGAAGTAAGATCTTAGGTTAGATCATTCAAGAAAGAACACTTTAATCGTCCTTTTGAAATTTTGTAGTTTAACAGTTTATACACGTTATTTATAGTTGCTTGTGCTAGGGACAAAGCATTGTGTTTACGAAAATGGGCTGCCTGCCTCTACTGAGTTTAGTGTTGATTAACAATACAGCTCTTTATATTATGTGCTGTAAAATCTTAAAACAAACTGTTCATTGCTTGACAGTCAGTCTTTGTGTTTTGCTGTGTTACGTTTACTCATTTGTCGTAAGTTTTAAGTATGATTTTGGTATTTTTATTATAAGCCACTGTCCTTTAAATCAGGAAACACTACTGATGTGTATGTTTACTTTCACTGAAATAAATTCATTCAATACATTTGATTTATGTGAAGTAGTCCTGTAAGGAAGGAGGGTTTAGCCCAAAAAACTCTGAGGTGCTGTTTCCATATAAGCAGGTTATTGCATTGTTAAGAATAGCACAGACTACGTACATTTTTCCAACACTGCTCATGCCAATTTTTA